CGTTTTGGACTTGGTGAATGGCACATGAAAGCGCTTCTCCTTTGGAGCTGGCTTGAAAGGTTCTAAAGGATGAACAGAGAAGCATGCAGGCAACTACTGACGAATCATGTGTGATTTTAGTAGGGGCTATGGCAGTAGTCTTTGCCTTTGGTTGAACATGCACGCAGAAAAACAACACAATCGTGCCAGTTATGCTGGGTCTTAGGGTGAGATAAGTTGAAGGAACGGAAACAGGAAAAGTCTGAAGAAAAAATTGACTTTCACCACCAGGAATCAAACCAGGGGGGGGGGGGGGGTTCGCTTGAGGCCAGCGATAGAGTTAGAGTCCTAGAGCGGTACTTACTTTTCTTTCCATACCTATCACCGACGGTGACGTAGGACATCTCCCTGAAGACGCCCATGCGATCCTGATCCAGTCGCTCCTTCTCCGGTTTCGGCATGGCGACGACCGTGGTGACCGTTGTCGCTGTGCCTGATCAGTCTTCTAGACAGATTGGTTTGAGCAATTGTATGTGTGTGTGTGTGTGTGTGTTGGGGGGGGGGGGGAGCACACATTCAAAGGATAAAAACTACAATTAGGGACGTAAAAATAATTTTTTTCAAATATACATGTACATGAATTACGGATCCGCGTACCACACGGGCCAAGAGCCAACTTTCATCACACCCTCCCATGATCAAGTGCATGTCAAATGCAGCTCTGAAACCCTTGAGAATCCGGAGTAAGATGCGGCTCACGGAATGTTCCCGAGGATGTAGGCCTAAGGATGCGCTGACGGTTCAGGCAAAGGTTCAGGTATCAAGGCAGCAAAGACACTGCTTTATGAACACATACAAACAAGAGTACATGAACATCAGAGTGTGCACCTTGCGGCTTTTCCACTATGGGTGCCTGTCACGGCGGAATTCCGTGATTACGTCATATGTGGTGCTGATCTGAGGCGGGAAGCGGCATAGTGCGTACAACTGAGCTGCAGTTGTGCAGAAAGAGACCTGCTTGAATCCGGCTTGTACGCGCCACATCGCTAAAATGATGAAATCACGGAATTCCGCCGTGACAACCACCCATCCAAGCTGCACACTCTGCTTTTCATGTGCTGCAAATATACAAAATTTCGGCGCTGCAAAATTTCGGCACTTCACGATTTTTGACATTTCGGCGGCGATTTATTTTCGGCGTGGGGTAGAGGGTATGGTATAGCACGACAGATGCTGTGAAAAATTTCATCGGCGTTTTAATTTAGGCGTTTTGGATCGGTGCCGAATATAGGGGAGCAAACCCTTTCTTACAAGTCACCGCCGAAGTCGCAACCACCACTTCGTACCGTTTTGGGTCGGTGCCGAATATAGCCGAAATTAAATAGCTGCTGAAAATTTGTATATTTACAGTACTCTTGATACAATGTACATCAACATGCTTGGTGCACATATGGCTGGTTGTAAGAAGGGACACTGTTTCCAAACACAGGGTTCCCCCACCTTGTAACATGCTGTCAACCAACTACCTTTACGTGTATAATACTTATGCACACGCCGCTACCATCACTAGCTATTATCTGCACCTCTGTGGTATTGTGTACGCCAGTGTGGGGAGAAGCATGCAAATCTGCCAGTGCACTTCGATCTACAACCACTGTTGCTCAAATGCAAGATATCATCTACATGTAAATGGAAAACATCCACCCTTCGAGTTTTCCGTATCTCAATGAAACAGATCAAGAAATCTGCCAGGTAAATGTCCAAACCAAATGGCACGCCCAAAACACACACACACACATACACACACACGCGCGCGCACACACACACGCACACACACACACACACACACACACACCACCACCACCATGTGTACGCTCGTCGCAAGAGAAACACGCAAATCTGCAAATGCACTGGATGTGCACCCGCAGATTTTCTCTTATAAGTTATAGCAACGATAGCGAACAAGATCTGAATGAGACAGATCAAGACTTGCGCCAGATAACTGTCTAATCCACACAACTGGCGAAGCCATGTGAATCGACCACCAATGCACACCTGGTCACACACACACACACACACACACACACACACACACACACACACACACACACACACACACACACACACACACACACACACACACACACACAAACACATCCACACGCACACGCACACACACACGCACACGCACACACACACACACACACACACACACACACACACAGACACACACTGTACTGACACACACACACACACACACACACACACACACACACACACACACACACTGTACTGACACACACACACACACACACACACATACACACAAACACATCCACACGCAAACACACACACGCACACACACACACACACACACACACACACACACACATAATTATATACACACAAACACACCACACACATACACACAAACAAAAACACCGAAGACTCTACACCGCTTCCATAGTAATCTAAACAACATCTCACCTACTTGTTGCTTGCCTAATGGCCGATCCCTAGCAAAGATAGAAGCGCCCACCGCGGACCCCGCGCTTTGCCAATGAAGGGACGCTATCCGCGCACGATTCAGGCAGTTCGATGCGCTCACCACCTCACACAACTACGGCTGTTTCTTTCAAAAACATTCACCATCTGGAGTGGCTTTCTCCAACTGTGTTCAAACAAGACAATCAGTCAACGAGCTGCCTTCAAAAAACTTTCTCTGACAGATCATCTAGTGCAAGGATCTAAATAACAATACCATGTAGCATTAGCATTAGCAGCTGTGTCTGGCCAGATGAGCTCTATTTTCTAGATCAGTAAGCAGGGTAAGGCAGTATGCGTTCAAGGCAATATCGTTATCAAAATGATTATGTTGCTCTCCTCTGAGTCTGATCGATAGCGTCACTTCATCACCTGATCTGGGGCGCTTAGACTAGCCAGAGGCAGAGGCTAGGCTCCTCACTCAGTACAAATCACAAGTAACTCTTCACACATTTTGGTTGACAGCCTAGCCTAGCTAGCCTATGAAAATAATCTTATCTGCATCTGCCTCTACACCCATGCATGCATGGAGTGCTGGTGGCACGCATTTTCACGTGCCACACGCGTACGCCCGTCTTTTTCGTGACACTGGCGTCCGTGTGTCGCTGTGGTTCTTATGGCAACCAGCCGTTCCCTAGCTACTAGGCGCAGCTAGTACTACTACTAGTACATGTACTAGTAGTTGACATGCCATCAGAGATGCTAGGTCTGGCTGCACTCAGCGCTCAGCACTGAACTGTCTGAAGACTGATATAGGGCTTGAAAGTGCTACGTCACAGCATAGCAACAATTTCAAAAATTCAAAAACTGGATCCACTTGGATCCAGTTTTTGTATGGATCCAAGCACATAATCATTTCAAGCTGTCTTACCCACAGCATGGTGATGTAGCCAGTGAAACTGACTGATTTGCCTACTGGGGGCGGGGTTACAACTGGTGGCGAAATAAAAGTCACACCTGCATGCGACATGAGTGGGTTGCTATGCACCCACATACTTAGGCAATAGCTAAGTCACACCTTAGTGGATCCAAAAATAGAAATCTGATGTCAACTTACTACTCCCTGGCCGTTTTGACGTCATCACTTTCAAGCCCAATTGTATGAAATGTGAAGAATCCGAAGACACTGAAATGATACTTGAACTACTTACTGAACTAAGTCTGAAGTACGTCGATGCACTCATACTCGCAGTCGCGCACTCTTTACTCCTGCACTTAGTGCACTCTGTCCTGTCTCTACAATGTAGCCCTCTCCCAAAGGTGCTCTTTTAACGCACTTAGTGCTTTTCGCGTCCCTCAAAATATGCTGAAAAAGTGCTCTTTTTCCAGTGTAAACAGGCAAAAAGTGCTCTTTTTTCAGTGAAGCATAGCCATGATACACGTTCAGATATGAACCCAAGCTGAGAAATGAATACGCAATCTTCTATTAATTTATGGGTCCACGAAAGGCAAAACAGGAAGTAAAGTTCAAAAAACCCACTTTTTACAGCATTGTGTACACCGGGTACAAGCTTCACCCACTACATGTAATTGCTTGTTGCCCCCAAAAAAGCGGCGTGCCAAGGCCCATCGAGCACTCGGAAAGAAACTGTGATCGCATGCATGAGCAAACAGATTTTAGCACTTTCTCAGCTAAAAAAGCTCAAAAAGGGCGATATTCACCAAAAGCGCAAAAAGAGCGAAAGAAACTGTATCATGTGCATTCGCGGTTGTAGGCGTTTAAAATTTGGTTTGAAATTTGCACCCTCCTGCGGAGCCCACGCTGCTTTGGCAGTGGCGGAGGCTCGCTTGCCGACGTAACCGTCGGAGATCATCATGAACAATGGACTGACTAATTATTCACTTGTCCTGTCTTTCTAAATAACATGTTATTGCACAAAAAAAAGAAAAAAAAGAAACGGGCTTTTTCCAAAAACGGCCAAAAGGGCGAAAAAAGGGCGAGCACCTTTGGGAAAGGGCTAGCTGTCTGCCATTACATGCTTCTATCGTCTAATTATCTAAACCAACGCCATGCGCCACGCGTGGCGTTGGTGTTTGAAGATCGAAGCGCTAGAGTCTGAGCTGTAGCTTACTACTAGTACATGTACTAAGCTTAGACTCAGTAACCATGGTAACTCTTGCAACACGGCAGGTGTGAGAGACAGCTGGTGTGGAAACATGCGGAGTGTGTCTGTTTAAACTTACTACCAAGTAATAGTAATAGTGGTAGTTAGTTACTTTTGGCAGGGGAGTGGCGATACCGGCCGGGAAAAACCCATTCTGAAGCCCTGCAGTCCTGCAGTACTCGCGATTTCGCTCCCTTACTTTTTACATGTATCCCCGGACAGTCCTGTCCGTTTGGGTTGCGAATCCAAAATGAGGGACACAGTAACAATAACAAAGCAACATCAAGTAGTAGATCTACATGTACATGTACGACTGCGAGTCATCTCTCTACTGGATTTCTCGATCGCTCACTTCACCATTTGCTTGTACAATGTATAGCAGAGACCAACAAGCAACACAATGACATCAATTCATGAAGTTTCAGCATGTTGCAATTACTTGGAAATTGGAATTACAAAGTCCCACATGACGACAGGTTGACGGGCCCGTCTTCCCCCCAGATGAAACAAGATGAAACGAGATGAAACGAGATGAAACCAGATGAAACGCCAAGTACGGGCGCAGATGGGGCCGAGATGAAACGAAATGAAACAAAATGAAACAAAATGAAACAAGATGAAACAAGATGAAACCAAATGAAACTCGAAGTACGGGCGTAGATGGGCCGCGAATGAAACAAGATGAAACGAGATGAAACAATGTATGGGCGTAGATGGGGCGCACGCGACCATGTACCACGCGTGCACGAGCGAAAAGAACACTGAATCCAATCATTGAAATAATTTTGTTTGCAGAGGCAATTCGCGCAAGGGAGGGATAGCAATTTGATGGCTTGCGAGTGACAGCACGAGCCGAATTTATTGCCCGTGGAAGTACCCACGATAGGAATACACTGTTGGGAACATGGTGGCGCCGCTGACGGTACCTATGTAAGTGGAATTACTTTATTGGAAGTACCCACGACGGGGAAAATAGTCTCTCTAGTATTGTCGGTGAATGGTGATGGTGGTGGTGGCGATGGCTACTTTCCTCTGCTCAGAGAGAACCCCTGCATGTCCTTCGTCGTGATGCGAAAGAGCAGTGGATGCAGGTAAAGGCCGTGTCAGAGAATTTCGCCTAGTGCTGTGGCCAGGGTGAAAATAAATTAGGGCTGAAACCATCATTCAATAACTCCATGCGATCAACCAATCTCTTTAGCGATGAATATCATTGTAACATAGAAAAATGTGGGCACAAGTTATGCAATCGAGTCCACCAACTAAACCAGATTTCGAATAGTCAGACGTGCACAATCTAGCACAAAACTGACAAGGAGTATGAGTACTGAGACATTGAGATCAATTATAATTGTTGGTTCATAATTATAGATTCTTTCCGGCTGTAGTCGTGCACCTCGAACACAAGACTATGAAGAAATTCCATGATGCCTTTGCTACATTAGCTGTGGCCACCAGTCAAACACTCTAAATATACCCAGGCTACCGCTCAGTGTTTGGTATTCTGTAAACATTTCAGGCAATTGTGTCGACACCTGTAGACATCTGACTGGTCTAAAGCCTAGTTCACATTCGACGTAACACTGACGATACAGGACGTAAGGGCCTGTCGGGACAGCTGGGGTGAGCTGTAAAATCTTTTACGATTCGTACGACACGACATGCTGCAGTCGTTGCGATGTTCTCCAGCGAACGGCGCGAGTCATAAGGCACAGTCCGTGACGGGGTGACTTTCGGACCTAATTTCTTGTTTTTCGGGACTTCTTTTTTCAATTATTTCTCCTTGAATGAAGCGAAATCAAATTCACAAAACCAGTTTTTCATGGAGACAAAAAAGTAGCCCTGAAAGTTGTGCCATTCACATAATAGCCCTAGGAAATGATAAAACAGTTCATCTGTCATTCTCCTAAACTATCCCTAAACACCATAAGTGACATGAGATCTTATCTTGCTAAAATTCAACTCAAGTCGTGTTAGCCATTCTGCGAGTTATCACGGGAAGGGCATTGTTCGAAATCCTAACAATTTCCTAGTACGAATCGGGAGTGGATGGCGCACGACGCCGCCTCCTGTTCTCACTCAAAATGCAGCCGTTTTGTACGCTTGCGTCTCCGTCTATGCCCGTCTACGGTATGAAAAGTTGAACTGATCCAACACTTCCCGTCGCTTCCCGATCCGTACGGTAGTATGGTTGTGTTCCCGTTCCTGATGTTCACATTGGACGCCGTCAGACCGTCCTGTCGCTTCCCATCGATTCTTACGCCGCGTCCCGTCGAATTTGAACTAGGCTTTATCAATATGAACTAGAGGAGTTCATGTTGTTGTTTCTAGAACGAAGAATCAGGCTTGTCGTCACCCTTTGGCTTGAAGCTCTTATCACCAACTTCCGCAACAAAAAAGATACCGTCTTGACTCCCGATCTCTTTCATAGCCACGCATCAATATTACTGCGCTTGAAAGTACACGATTGCACTCGTATCCACAATTGGATGGAGTGCAAGGGCTAGAATACTGCCACTGGTATGCATGCATAAAAAATCGTTTGCATTCGCTTTGAACACTAACGATTATCGATTGCGCTCTTAAAACGATCGGTTTGCGAGTTATCTGTATACTTGTTTCAGCCCTAAATGCATTGCCCTCGTAGAGGACAGGGATGAGCAGTGATATGAGCAGGGATGTGAGTACTGATGTGCCTTTCGTCCTCATATTTTACAGAGAAGACGTCTGCCCCCAATAATAAAATTAATGTAGTAATGATAATGTGTTGCCCTTTCATCTTCTCAGGAGCCCTATGCCTTTGCCTCTTCTCCCCTGGACTGAATGGACTGGACGCTCTGTCCAGTAGTGTCCAGTAAATGATTTGTAGTGTAAGTTAGGGTGCACTCTCTCTTGAGGATTTGCCCACCTTGATGATTGTGCTCTTCGTGTTATTAGAAAATGTCTCTACCTGCCAGGATGGTATAAGAGCACGAACTGAATCACCTGTTGGTGCAGAAGGCTTGGAGGACTGCTTTTGAAACAGTTGTTCAAATTTCCTGCACCTCTTCGTAGCCGTTGTCTGATTTCTGCATTCTGGGGAGACTGAAGTTAAGGTTAGTGAAGCTGCACAGTCCCCGTGGAAATGTTTATGCTGCAACTATTTACTGCTGACATGTATTTATGTATTTCAGGAATCTCCAGAGGGTGAAGGCTTGCTGCAAGCTCCGTCCCTTCAATGTCGTGATACATCCGTAGATCAGTCGTGTGCCTGTCCTGTGCTTTTATGAGCATGCTCCTTTGCACATGCCTTTGTCCTGTGCATGCGCGGGCGTGGGCACGCGTGTGTGTGTGTGTGTGTGTGTGTGTGTGTGTGTGTGTGTGTGTGTGTGTGTGTGTGTGTGTACGCCAACGACACCGTCCGTGCACATGTGCATGGACGTGAGTTTGTGCGTTTGCCTTTGTTATATGCATACAGTATTATCAATTTATCATGCCTATACAAGCCTTGCCAGTGTCTCGATAGGAGAAGCAGATACATGATTACACCACTTGGGTTTTGACCTTCTTTGGCCGGGGCGAATGTCGAAGGAAAGACTCCCTCTGGGCCAAGGTGTTGGCGACAGTTGAGAGTTGTCCTCTATTTTGCAGCGGGGGACAGCATGGCATATTTGGTGCCGGAAAGAGTGCAGTTGCACTTTTCATGTTACTGTAAAATTTGCTAGGTCACTCCCTTGAAGCTGGAGACTGCTGATACTGCTGCTCAAACGGCTGCTGCTGTTACTCTCTGCTGCTACCATGGTCGTTGCTTTGTATCAATGGCGAAAATTCTCAGATGAGCTTTGGGTCCGGGCACTAGAACCCTGCTGCTGCCTCTGCAGCAGTTGTAGAAAGTTTTATAATACCAGTGTCGATGGTGAACTTCTGCTCTTTTTTTTATCCCAGACACTTTGTGCTCAAGAGACTGTTAGGTCTTTGTGGTGTTGTCGTTGCTGTTTGGTTATACTAGTTGGCGTCTGTTTGGAAATATATTGTGCTTTTCTGTGTGTTCATGTGAACGTAGAAGCCCTCACCGAAACCAACACTACGTTGCTGTGTTGTTTTCTTCCAAGGTCGGGCACAGTAAAGGAGACGACTCTGTGAGTATATTCGCAGATGAACTTTGGGTTAATAGAATGCAGGTGCTGCTGCTCTTGTGCCGGGCTGTTGGTGTCAATGATGGGGTGGATCATGCTTTCTCTTTATATACCTTTTGTATATTTGTGTGTAAGTAGGAGCACATACCAACACGTAATCTTTCTAAAGCCTAGTTCTCTTTCGACGCAACGCTGACGGTACGGGACGTAAGGGCCTGTGACGGCTGGGGTGAGCTGTAAAATCTTGTACAATTCGTACGACACGACATGCTCCAGTCTTTGCGATGTTCAACAGCGAATGGTGCGAGTCATAAGGCACAGGCCGTGACGGGGTGACCGTCCCGGCGTTTCCCGTCGATCCTTATGTCGCGTCCCGTTGCGCCCCGTCGAATGTGAACTGGGCTTAACAATGGCATGGAGACAGTTTCAATTGCAGTTTAATGTTACTGCACTGCACTGCAGGTATCAAGGCACTACCCAGAGGGAGGATGTTGGCCTTCTCCTGATGGGAAAATGTCTTCTTTCTCATGGCGTGGCCAGGACTGCACTGACCCTACCATCCACTCTACCTCTCGGGAAAGGGACTTGACAACCAGTCAAGATGGATGTGCAGAGATATACCAGCGGTAAGTCACATGCTTAGGATATCCACTTGATGAAGGAAGGACAGGTGCTCAACTACTACACCAAAATGTGAGCATAAGGAGATGGGCTGATGGGTCATGGATGGGTGACAGGTCTTTGCCCGGTTGCTGGAGTATAACAACCTGGGTCTTTGATTGGTTTAGAAGCGGTCCGCTCTATTCGGGGTGCCATCCTCAATTAGACGGGTAGTGAAGATCTTGCAGGATCAATCGCACATGTAGAATATGGACATGTGGATGCGGGCAGCAGATCTGTAATTTCCAGTATCAAAGTTCAGTTGTATTTGCTTTTCTTTATTTTCTATTTGTGATGTTGTTCACTGCAGCTTCTAGCATTAACTGCCAATTTGCACTGACGCAGCAAGACTCCCAACAGTCAAGTATGTTTCATTGCATGCACTAGGATTACAGTAGAATGCCGATTATCCGAATGTCAACTGTCCAAACGGTCAATTATCCGAAATTCCTGTTTGCACTGAATTCAATTCAATAAGTCGACTTATACCGGTAAAATATGGTAACAGCGGGACTGCAGGGTGTGGCATTTCCATGATACAGTGGAAAATTTCACGATTTTTGGTGCAAACATAGCTCGGACGCTGCTCGATTGGATATACAATGCAGGTTCTTGGAACCACGGACACGACTCTTCGATTCAAGGATCACAACACTTCGGGATCTGAACGTTTTAGGTCCGGGAGCTGTTCGCGGTTTTGTCGCTTGTCACGGTTGTGGACTCATCGTTGTAGCATAAATGAGGCTGGACTATTCCAAGCGGAAAACTAAAATATTTCCTTCTCAAAGCACAATCACCGGCCCGGAGGAGCACACCTTCTCTAACTACATACCGGGTGCAGTACATGACACGTCCGTGTATTGACTAGTCTCTTGTACATTAATTTTAGATCTACCACACGACTCGCGTAGCGCTAGCACAGCAGTGCGGGTGTAGTCATGTACTACTACTACTACAGTACTGCCGGGCGCCGAAGAACGGACCGCCGATGAACGGCCAGGCTATGATTTCGCTATTTTTTAAGAACGGTCTAGGTAGAAACGTGATGTACAATATGAATATGATGTACACTCAGACGTATAACTCTGCATAAATGTACATGTAAGACTGTACCATCGAATATGAACGAAACTGCTGTGTTCGCCAAAAATAAGAACGGGCTAGGCTAGAACCCTGACCCCGTTCTTCGGCGCCCGGCAGTACTGTAGTGTAATGTTCCGTATGTTTGTTGACTATGGCATGCACGCAGAAGCCAGCGGATGTAAAAAGTCCCACTCGGAAACGGCTAAAAACGGGGTATCCTCAAATTTTGCCGAGCTGAAAATCACAGGGTACGTAGGGCTTGTAACAGTGAGTCGAATGCTCTTGGTCCGAAGAAGCTGCGATAGATGGTTCTCAAATCGAACGCGTTTCGAATATTGGCCATTTTGCACACAAATAGATGGTGTGGCTACCTGGCTGCACACTGTGACCTTATCACCTGGATCAGGTAGACTGCGTGCTCGCTTTCGCTCATTTTCGATTGGGCGTATCTGACGAACCATGGACCGCAGCCTCCTCGGAAAAGAACATTCGACTCAGCGCCCCAAACTCTACGGGTCCTGAAATTAAAAAAATTCAGCAGACTTCCCCTTTAATACGTAAGGCAGAACTTATTACAGTCCTTGATTAGAAGTTGACATATTCTTGTACGAATCCGGTGGCAGCCACAACAATGTCTTTTGTGAAAAATGTATGCAAGCCTTTTAAAAAGCATCTCCCACCAGGCATTCGATCGAATATTTCATGCCGTGGAGATTTGTTACGGCGTGAACCGATGCTTGGTGTGTAGAATTTGCTTTTTGATGTGTTCTTTGGAAGATGCAGTCTTAAAAATGGTGTGGATGTCTTTGTTTCTGTCCTTCTGTTGTCCTCGTAGAAAGAATAATATAGACGTGCAGAAAATGTGGGAAAGCGATGACATCAGAAGGACACTCTCAGGTTCAGGGTACCTGCACTGCCCCAATAAAGTGGGTCAGATCCCAAAACGAGGTTGGCCGAAGCAAAAAAATTGAAGAGCCTGCCTTGAATTGAATATGAGGAAGAAGAAGAAGACAAAGAAAGAGAAAGAGTAGGAATTTGTTTGTGTAAACTTTGTTTCCTCTGTCTAGGCTGCCATCGCATTATAGCAGCCAACAGTGTGTGTGTGTGTGTGCATATGTGTGTGTGTGTTTGCGTTTGTGTGCACACGCTTGTGTGTGTGTGTGTGTGTGTGTTTGCATGTGTGTATATTCTGCTAATCTTGACTTAAATTTCCGTATCTGGGCATATTGTGTTCTGTATGTGAATTTATCATCATTCCCGTAGCTATGCAGAAGACGTTACTTCAGTAATGTCTGGCGCTAGCCAGGGTCCACACAGCTTTAATTTGGTATTTGTGTGTTTGTTTGTTTGTGTCACGCCTGGCGCTATCCGTATCTGACGGCAAAAAAAGCATAGGGACGTTATAAATTTTTCAATTCTCCTATTTTTTCAGGCATATGCTGGGATTCGAACCCGCACTATCGCCCTACATGCATTCCCCCATACACTTCGCATTCATACCCATTCTTCCAAGTTGCTTCACGTTATGATCTTGCGTTTGAAAGCCCTATTTGAATATTGCTGGCAGCTATATGTGGCCAGCTGTGTTTGATGGTACGGTACGGTACGGGAGACGGTGTCGTATTACCGTCGATCGTACCTGTCCCGTACCTATCCCCTACCGTACCGTGCCATCAAAGACGGCTGGCCACAATGCATATTCAAATACTAGTAGGGCTTTCAAATGCAAGATCACAATGTGAAGCAACTTGGAAGAATTAGTATGTATGCGAAGTGTATCGGGGGGTGCATGCAGGGTGCGCGATAGTGCGGGTTCGAATCCCAGGTTATGTCTTAAAAAAAGGAATTTTTAAAGAATTTATAACATCCCTACGGTCAATACCGTAGTGACCGTACCGTGTGCGACGCCCCTGACTGTTGGAATCCACCAGCTGTGTTTCCTTGAGGGGCGTATCCTTACCTGGGATGTGTTTTCTCATTCCCGGCAGCAGAAAGAGCTCTACAATACAGGGGCGTAGGAGGGGGTTTGAAAGTGGTACGACCAAAGGTCGGCGCGGCCAAAGGCCGTGTTGGAGGGGGGTCCGGGGACCTCCCCCGGGAAAATTTTGTAAAAAAGACACGAAATCCTGCGTTCTGGGGGAACTTCTGGCACACTTCACACACACTTCTGGCGCAGTGTGCATGCAGTCAGTCCGACTGCAGATGCATAACACATCTACGGGTCTAGAAAAAGGTCAAAGTCTGATGCGCATTATATGCATCGATGGATCCTGATTTTTTTTATTACGGTTTTGCACGTTCCGGACGGACCACACTTTTCGAAAAGTGGTACGGCCATGGTCGTACCAGTCGTAGCGGGTGCTACGCCCCTGCAATATGTTGTAAGAATAGAATTAGATGTACAGGAGAGTGCCGATTATCCCCACCCCTCGGGACGCGGGCTGTCTCCAGAGGGTTCAGATGAGAAGAATGTTCGGATAAGAGAGCAGTCACACATCTATCTAAATCATGCATATTTCAGCATGTTTTCATCATTTTCATTCTCTTCAGCAGTGCAACAGGAACTAGGTGCACTCGTCCCCCTCTAAATTAATGACACTATTATTACACATTTTGACTCAAACCTGTTGTAATACATCTTGTGAATCGCTTCAATGGTGCCCCGAGCGACGAAAATCAACAACTTGAAACTCATCTTCTACCCCTCAATTAAATGCAAGCAATTATTTTGAATAATTAATCATTTGGATAGTTGACATTAGGATAATCGGCACATTGTGTGTGATGGGGGGGGGGGGGAGGAAGAGGAGGAGGCTGCAAGAGGCCGTGGTGGATGTGTACTTGTGCAGAGCCTGGAAATAGCCTCACTTTAGATGTATGCACATTCAAACGGTGGATTCTTCCCGCCATCCTTTTCCCCCTCTTTTTCCTTTTCCCGCCATTCTTTACCCCCTCTTTTTCAATTTCCCGCTCTTCTTTTCCCCCTCTTTTTCCCCCTTTTCTGCGAGAAGATTAGCCCCCTCCTTACGACAGGTTGACGGGCCCGTCTTCCCCCCAGATGAAACAAGATGAAACGAGATGAAACGAGATGAAACCAGATGAAACGCCAAGTACGGGCGCAGATGGGGCCGAGATGAAACGAAATGAAACAAAATGAAACAAAATGAAACAAGATGAAACAAGATGAAACCAAATGAAACTCGAAGTACGGGCGTAGATGGGCCGCGAATGAAACAAGATGAAACGAGATGAAACAATGTATGGGCGTAGATGGGGCGCACGCGACCATGTACCACGCGTGCACGAGCGAAAAGAACACTGAATCCAATCATTGAAATAATTTTGTTTGCAGAGGCAATTCGCGCAAGGGAGGGATAGCAATTTGATGGCTTGCGAGTGACAGCACGAGCCGAATTTATTGCCCGTGGAAGTACCCACGATAGGAATACACTGTTGGGAACATGGTGGCGCCGCTGACGGTACCTATGTAAGTGGAATTACTTTATTGGAAGTACCCACGACGGGGAAAATAGTCTCTCTAGTATTGTCGGTGAATGGTGATGGTGGTGGTGGCGATGGCTACTTTCCTCTGCTCAGAGAGAACCCCTGCATGTCCTTCGTCGTGATGCGAAAGAGCAGTGGATGCAGGTAAAGGCCGTGTCAGAGAATTTCGCCTAGTGCTGTGGCCAGGGTGAAAATAAATTAGGGCTGAAACCATCATTCAATAACTCCATGCGATCAACCAATCTCTTTAGCGATGAATATCATTGTAACATAGAAAAATGTGGGCACAAGTTATGCAATCGAGTCCACCAACTAAACCAGATTTCGAATAGTCAGACGTGCACAATCTAGCACAAAACTGACAAGGAGTATGAGTACTGAGACATTGAGATCAATTATAATTGTTGGTTCATAATTATAGATTCTTTCCGGCTGTAGTCGTGCACCTCGAACACAAGACTATGAAGAAATTCCATGATGCCTTTGCTACATTAGCTGTGGCCACCAGTCAAACACTCTAAATATACCCAGGCTACCGCTCAGTGTTTGGTATTCTGTAAACATTTCAGGCAATTGTGTCGACACCTGTAGACATCTGACTGGTCTAAAGCCTAGTTCACATTCGACGTAACACTGACGATACAGGACGTAAGGGCCTGTCGGGACAGCTGGGGTGAGCTGTAAAATCTTTTACGATTCGTACGACACGACATGCTGCAGTCGTTGCGATGTTCTCCAGCGAACGGCGCGAGTCATAAGGCACAGTCCGTGACGGGGTGACTTTCGGACCTAATTTCTTGTTTTTCGGGACTTCTTTTTTCAATTATTTCTCCTTGAATGAAGCGAAATCAAATTCACAAAACCAGTTTTTCATGGAGACAAAAAAGTAGCCCTGAAAGTTGTGCCATTCACATAATAGCCCTAGGAAATGATAAAACAGTTCATCTGTCATTCTCCTAAACTATCCCTAAACACCATAAGTGACATGAGATCTTATCTTGCTAAAATTCAACTCAAGTCGTGTTAGCCATTCTGCGAGTTATCACGGGAAGGGCATTGTTCGAAATCCTAACAATTTCCTAGTACGAATCGGGAGTGGATGGCGCACGACGCCGCCTCCTGTTCTCACTCAAAATGCAGCCGTTTTGTACGCTTGCGTCTCCGTCTATGCCCGTCTACGGTATGAAAAGTTGAACTGATCCAACACTTCCCGTCGCTTCCCGATCCGTACGGTAGTATGGTTGTGTTCCCGTTCCTGATGTTCACATTGGACGCCGTCAGACCGTCCTGTCGCTTCCCATCGATTCTTACGCCGCGTCCCGTCGAATTTGAACTAGGCTTTATCAATATGAACTAGAGGAGTTCATGTTGTTGTTTCTAGAACGAAGAATCAGGCTTGTCGTCACCCTTTGGCTTGAAGCTCTTATCACCAACTTCCGCAACAAAAAAGATACCGTCTTGACTCCCGATCTCTTTCATAGCCACGCATCAATATTACTGCGCTTGAAAGTACACGATTGCACTCGTATCCACAATTGGATGGAGTGCAAGGGCTAGAATACTGCCACTGGTATGCATGCATAAAAAATCGTTTGCATTCGCTTTGAACACTAACGATTATCGATTGCGCTCTTAAAACGATCGGTTTGCGAGTTATCTGTATACTTGTTTCAGCCCTAAATGCATTGCCCTCGTAGAGGACAGGGATGAGCAGTGATATGAGCAGGGATGTGAGTACTGATGTGCCTTTCGTCCTCATATTTTACAGAGAAGACGTCTGCCCCCAATAATAAAATTAATGTAGTAATGATAATGTGTTGCCCTTTCATCTTCTCAGGAGCCCTATGCCTTTGCCTCTTCTCCCCTGGACTGAATGGACTGGACGCTCTGTCCAGTAGTGTCCAGTAAATGATTTGTAGTGTAAGTTAGGGTGCACTCTCTCTTGAGGATTTGCCCACCTTGATGATTGTGCTCTTCGTGTTATTAGAAAATGTCTCTACCTGCCAGGATGGTATAAGAGCACGAACTGAATCACCTGTTGGTGCAGAAGGCTTGGAGGACTGCTTTTGAAACAGTTGTTCAAATTTCCTGCACCTCTTCGTAGCCGTTGTCTGATTTCTGCATTCTGGGGAGACTGAAGTTAAGGTTAGTGAAGCTGCACAGTCCCCGTGGAAATGTTTATGCTGCAACTATTTACTGCTGACATGTATTTATGTATTTCAGGAATCTCCAGAGGGTGAAGGCTTGCTGCAAGCTCCGTCCCTTCAATGTCGTGATACATCCGTAGATCAGTCGTGTGCCTGTCCTGTGCTTTTATGAGCATGCTCCTTTGCACATGCCTTTGTCCTGTGCATGCGCGGGCGTGGGCACGCGTGTGTGTGTGTGTGTGTGTGTGTGTGTGTGTGTGTGTGTGTGTGTGTGTGTGTGTGTGTGTACGCCAACGACACCGTCCGTGCACATGTGCATGGACGTGAGTTTGTGCGTTTGCCTTTGTTATATGCATACAGTATTATCAATTTATCATGCCTATACAAGCCTTGCCAGTGTCTCGATAGGAGAAGCAGATACATGATTACACCACTTGGGTTTTGACCTTCTTTGGCCGGGGCGAATGTCGAAGGAAAGACTCCCTCTGGGCCAAGGTGTTGGCGACAGTTGAGAGTTGTCCTCTATTTTGCAGCGGGGGACAGCATGGCATATTTGGTGCCGGAAAGAGTGCAGTTGCACTTTTCATGTTACTGTAAAATTTGCTAGGTCACTCCCTTGAAGCTGGAGACTGCTGATACTGCTGCTCAAACGGCTGCTGCTGTTACTCTCTGCTGCTACCATGGTCGTTGCTTTGTATCAATGGCGAAAATTCTCAGATGAGCTTTGGGTCCGGGCACTAGAACCCTGCTGCTGCCTCTGCAGCAGTTGTAGAAAGTTTTATAATACCAGTGTCGATGGTGAACTTCTGCTCTTTTTTTTATCCCAGACACTTTGTGCTCAAGAGACTGTTAGGTCTTTGTGGTGTTGTCGTTGCTGTTTGGTTATACTAGTTGGCGTCTGTTTGGAAATATATTGTGCTTTTCTGTGTGTTCATGTGAACGTAGAAGCCCTCACCGAAACCAACACTACGTTGCTGTGTTGTTTTCTTCCAAGGTCGGGCACAGTAAAGGAGACGACTCTGTGAGTATATTCGCAGATGAACTTTGGGTTAATAGAATGCAGGTGCTGCTGCTCTTGTGCCGGGCTGTTGGTGTCAATGATGGGGTGGATCATGCTTTCTCTTTATATACCTTTTGTATATTTGTGTGTAAGTAGGAGCACATACCAACACGTAATCTTTCTAAAGCCTAGTTCTCTTTCGACGCAACGCTGACGGTACGGGACGTAAGGGCCTGTGACGGCTGGGGTGAGCTGTAAAATCTTGTACAATTCGTACGACACGACATGCTCCAGTCTTTGCGATGTTCAACAGCGAATGGTGCGAGTCATAAGGCACAGGCCGTGACGGGGTGACCGTCCCGGCGTTTCCCGTCGATCCTTATGTCGCGTCCCGTTGCGCCCCGTCGAATGTGAACTGGGCTTAACAATGGCATGGAGACAGTTTCAATTGCAGTTTAATGTTACTGCACTGCACTGCAGGTATCAAGGCACTACCCAGAGGGAGGATGTTGGCCTTCTCCTGATGGGAAAATGTCTTCTTTCTCATGGCGTGGCCAGGACTGCACTGACCCTACCATCCACTCTACCTCTCGGGAAAGGGACTTGACAACCAGTCAAGATGGATGTGCAGAGATATACCAGCGGTAAGTCACATGCTTAGGATATCCACTTGATGAAGGAAGGACAGGTGCTCAACTACTACACCAAAATGTGAGCATAAGGAGATGGGCTGATGGGTCATGGATGGGTGACAGGTCTTTGCCCGGTTGCTGGAGTATAACAACCTGGGTCTTTGATTGGTTTAGAAGCGGTCCGCTCTATTCGGGGTGCCATCCTCAATTAGACGGGTAGTGAAGATCTTGCAGGATCAATCGCACATGTAGAATATGGACATGTGGATGCGGGCAGCAGATCTGTAATTTCCAGTATCAAAGTTCAGTTGTATTTGCTTTTCTTTATTTTCTATTTGTGATGTTGTTCACTGCAGCTTCTAGCATTAACTGCCAATTTGCACTGACGCAGCAAGACTCCCAACAGTCAAGTATGTTTCATTGCATGCACTAGGATTACAGTAGAATGCCGATTATCCGAATGTCAACTGTCCAAACGGTCAATTATCCGAAATTCCTGTTTGCACTGAATTCAATTCAATAAGTCGACTTATACCGGTAAAATATGGTAACAGCGGGACTGCAGGGTGTGGCATTTCCATGATACAGTGGAAAATTTCACGATTTTTGGTGCAAACATAGCTCGGACGCTGCTCGATTGGATATACAATGCAGGTTCTTGGAACCACGGACACGACTCTTCGATTCAAGGATCACAACACTTCGGGATCTGAACGTTTTAGGTCCGGGAGCTGTTCGCGGTTTTGTCGCTTGTCACGGTTGTGGACTCATCGTTGTAGCATAAATGAGGCTGGACTATTCCAAGCGGAAAACTAAAATATTTCCTTCTCAAAGCACAATCACCGGCCCGGAGGAGCACACCTTCTCTAACTACATACCGGGTGCAGTACATGACACGTCCGTGTATTGACTAGTCTCTTGTACATTAATTTTAGATCTACCACACGACTCGCGTAGCGCTAGCACAGCAGTGCGGGTGTAGTCATGTACTACTACTACTACAGTACTGCCGGGCGCCGAAGAACGGACCGCCGATGAACGGCCAGGCTATGATTTCGCTATTTTTTAAGAACGGTCTAGGTAGAAACGTGATGTACAATATGAATATGATGTACACTCAGACGTATAACTCTGCATAAATGTACATGTAAGACTGTACCATCGAATATGAACGAAACTGCTGTGTTCGCCAAAAATAAGAACGGGCTAGGCTAGAACCCTGACCCCGTTCTTCGGCGCCCGGCAGTACTGTAGTGTAATGTTCCGTATGTTTGTTGACTATGGCATGCACGCAGAAGCCAGCGGATGTAAAAAGTCCCACTCGGAAACGGCTAAAAACGGGGTATCCTCAAATTTTGCCGAGCTGAAAATCACAGGGTACGTAGGGCTTGTAACAGTGAGTCGAATGCTCTTGGTCCGAAGAAGCTGCGATAGATGGTTCTCAAATCGAACGCGTTTCGAATATTGGCCATTTTGCACACAAATAGATGGTGTGGCTACCTGGCTGCACACTGTGACCTTATCACCTGGATCAGGTAGACTGCGTGCTCGCTTTCGCTCATTTTCGATTGGGCGTATCTGACGAACCATGGACCGCAGCCTCCTCGGAAAAGAACATTCGACTCAGCGCCCCAAACTCTACGGGTCCTGAAATTAAAAAAATTCAGCAGACTTCCCCTTTAATACGTAAGGCAGAACTTATTACAGTCCTTGATTAGAAGTTGACATATTCTTGTACGAATCCGGTGGCAGCCACAACAATGTCTTTTGTGAAAAATGTATGCAAGCCTTTTAAAAAGCATCTCCCACCAGGCATTCGATCGAATATTTCATGCCGTGGAGATTTGTTACGGCGTGAACCGATGCTTGGTGTGTAGAATTTGCTTTTTGATGTGTTCTTTGGAAGATGCAGTCTTAAAAATGGTGTGGATGTCTTTGTTTCTGTCCTTCTGTTGTCCTCGTAGAAAGAATAATATAGACGTGCAGAAAATGTGGGAAAGCGATGACATCAGAAGGACACTCTCAGGTTCAGGGTACCTGCACTGCCCCAATAAAGTGGGTCAGATCCCAAAACGAGGTTGGCCGAAGCAAAAAAATTGAAGAGCCTGCCTTGAATTGAATATGAGGAAGAAGAAGAAGACAAAGAAAGAGAAAGAGTAGGAATTTGTTTGTGTAAACTTTGTTTCCTCTGTCTAGGCTGCCATCGCATTATAGCAGCCAACAGTGTGTGTGTGTGTGTGCATATGTGTGTGTGTGTTTGCGTTTGTGTGCACACGCTTGTGTGTGTGTGTGTGTGTGTGTTTGCATGTGTGTATATTCTGCTAATCTTGACTTAAATTTCCGTATCTGGGCATATTGTGTTCTGTATGTGAATTTATCATCATTCCCGTAGCTATGCAGAAGACGTTACTTCAGTAATGTCTGGCGCTAGCCAGGGTCCACACAGCTTTAATTTGGTATTTGTGTGTTTGTTTGTTTGTGTCACGCCTGGCGCTATCCGTATCTGACGGCAAAAAAAGCATAGGGACGTTATAAATTTTTCAATTCTCCTATTTTTTCAGGCATATGCTGGGATTCGAACCCGCACTATCGCCCTACATGCATTCCCCCATACACTTCGCATTCATACCCATTCTTCCAAGTTGCTTCACGTTATGATCTTGCGTTTGAAAGCCCTATTTGAATATTGCTGGCAGCTATATGTGGCCAGCTGTGTTTGATGGTACGGTACGGTACGGGAGACGGTGTCGTATTACCGTCGATCGTACCTGTCCCGTACCTATCCCCTACCGTACCGTGCCATCAAAGACGGCTGGCCACAATGCATATTCAAATACTAGTAGGGCTTTCAAATGCAAGATCACAATGTGAAGCAACTTGGAAGAATTAGTATGTATGCGAAGTGTATCGGGGGGTGCATGCAGGGTGCGCGATAGTGCGGGTTCGAATCCCAGGTTATGTCTTAAAAAAAGGAATTTTTAAAGAATTTATAACATCCCTACGGTCAATACCGTAGTGACCGTACCGTGTGCGACGCCCCTGACTGTTGGAATCCACCAGCTGTGTTTCCTTGAGGGGCGTATCCTTACCTGGGATGTGTTTTCTCATTCCCGGCAGCAGAAAGAGCTCTACAATACAGGGGCGTAGGAGGGGGTTTGAAAGTGGTACGACCAAAGGTCGGCGCGGCCAAAGGCCGTGTTGGAGGGGGGTCCGGGGACCTCCCCCGGGAAAATTTTGTAAAAAAGACACGAAATCCTGCGTTCTGGGGGAACTTCTGGCACACTTCACACACACTTCTGGCGCAGTGTGCATGCAGTCAGTCCGACTGCAGATGCATAACACATCTACGGGTCTAGAAAAAGGTCAAAGTCTGATGCGCATTATATGCATCGATGGATCCTGATTTTTTTTATTACGGTTTTGCACGTTCCGGACGGACCACACTTTTCGAAAAGTGGTACGGCCATGGTCGTACCAGTCGTAGCGGGTGCTACGCCCCTGCAATATGTTGTAAGAATAGAATTAGATGTACAGGAGAGTGCCGATTATCCCCACCCCTCGGGACGCGGGCTGTCTCCAGAGGGTTCAGATGAGAAGAATGTTCGGATAAGAGAGCAGTCACACATCTATCTAAATCATGCATATTTCAGCATGTTTTCATCATTTTCATTCTCTTCAGCAGTGCAACAGGAACTAGGTGCACTCGTCCCCCTCTAAATTAATGACACTATTATTACACATTTTGACTCAAACCTGTTGTAATACATCTTGTGAATCGCTTCAATGGTGCCCCGAGCGACGAAAATCAACAACTTGAAACTCATCTTCTACCCCTCAATTAAATGCAAGCAATTATTTTGAATAATTAATCATTTGGATAGTTGACATTAGGATAATCGGCACATTGTGTGTGATGGGGGGGGGGGGAGGAAGAGGAGGAGGCTGCAAGAGGCCGTGGTGGATGTGTACTTGTGCAGAGCCTGGAAATAGCCTCACTTTACAGGGGCGGATACAGGGGGGGTTCAGGGGGTTCGGACGAACCCCCTAAAATAATTTCGACCATGGGTCCAGTCGATTTTTTTGTGATCTCCACGTGCGCAGCCAGCGAAGTGTAGCGTGCATGTAGCGTAGCCAGTACTGCAGACTGCAGTAGACTTCACCATGTTCACTGACACTGGCAATCCTGCATGCAGTAGTCAAGTACAGGCAGTGCAGGTACGTACTGTACATTGTAGGTCACTGCATGCATGCAGTGGTCGGGACTGTTGTACGCGTACCGTTCGAATCGAAGGGTCTGTACGCGTATCATGTGACTTCAAGTTGAATTAGTTGAAACGATCGACAGTTCAAGTGGTGGAGCAAAACTAAAAGGAGGAAAACCTGCCACTTGTCCTCCTTCTTTGTCGTTTTGTTTTATTTCGCGCTGGCTGGACTGTAGTGTAGGTTTCCTCCGTCGCAGTACGAAGATAATGTTTGTGTTTTTGTCGTGTAGTTTGCCATGTCGCGGTGGAGCAAAAGGTGGAGAAACTGCCACTTGTCCTCCTTACCTTCCTTGTCGTTTTGTTTTATTTCGCGCTGGCTGGACTGTAGGTTTCCTCCGTCGCAGTACGAAGATAATGTTTGTGTTTTTGTCGTGTAGTTTGCCATGTCGCGGTGGAGCAAAAGGTGGAGAAACTGCCACTTGTCCTCCTTACCTTCCTTGTCGTTTTGTTTTATTTCGCGCTGGCTGGACTGTAGGTTTCCTCCGTCGCAGTACGAAGATAATGTTTGTGTTTGTCGTGTAGTTTGCCATGTCGCGACGTCTGCCAAAGAGGCGAGCGGCCGATCAGTTGCCATTGAGCTTGGCTTCGTTCCGCCATGTACGGCGCGAATGTGACGACACGGAGTCCCAGCCGGAGAACAGTCAGAGAACTTCGCCTTCCGTCAGTTCGGAAAATAGACATCCTTAGCAAAAGTACGATAACGCTAACTTTTACGGTACTCACTCCCAGCCGTGACAAAAGACGTTATCGGATAACGGAAAAACGTTACAGAGCTCAAAATAACGGCCCGACGTTCGTTATGGAAATTCTGCAAAAAATGCAACAACTCGCATTGTTTTGTAACTGGCGGGAGATAAAAAGCACGTCGTGCAGATCGAGATGAGATCGAGAGTCGAGATTGCTTCCTCTTGTGACATTTAGCTTTTTTGGCGAGTTTTGCCTTTCAGTTGACAATTTCTGCGTCCTCTGCGTCCTCTGCTTCGTGCCTTTCTCCCTCTATCCCATCTGGGAAACAAAGGACGAGTTCCACGGCACTCCTGAGGAAGAAATTCATCGGCCTCTCCCAGACGTGCTGGAGCTGGAGAACCCTTTACAGTCTTCGGTGCTGCGTTTAGGAAAGGGTTTCCAAGGACCTGGGAACAGCGAAAACTCATTTTCGCCGTGCTTTTGCTATTCCAGAGTAAAATACCTCGCCAAGGTATTCTTTCGGAACGACAGCAAACTAATCCCTGGTTCAAAATTTTGAATTTCCCGCATCTGTTTCCACGAAAATTCAGATCGCCATGGTTGTCACGACTACTTCGTCTCAACTATAACGTACTTTGTGCTAAGGGAAAAGTCAGCTTGAACGATCCGAAGTACGGAAAGGTTTGCGTTTACGTTAGCGTTTTTTTAGCTAAGGATATCTAATGCTGCAGTCACGGCCTTAGTTTCTGCCTGTGCTGCAGCTTTGTACTTTGTAAGGCTCTAAACGCATTACCCTTGTCTTATTGCCATTGGCCAAGCAATGCAAGGGCTACCGTGACAATAAAGATTTTGCAACTCCCGGTGTAGTGAACGAACCGAAAACAGTTTGAAGCGAATTTAATTCTGTGCGCTCGAAAAAATTTGAACCCCCCCTGAAAAATTCCTGGATCCGCCCCTGCTTTAGATGTATGCACATTCAAACGGTGGATTCTTCCCGCCATCCTTTTCCCCCTCTTTTTCCTTTTCCCGCCATTCTTTACCCCCTCTTTTTCAATTTCCCGCTCTTCTTTTCCCCCTCTTTTTCCCCCTTTTCTGCGAGAAGATTAGCCCCCTCCTTGACGACTTGTTGGCGCTCAGGATACTAGTATGCTAAGATTCAAGGAAACTTGGCAACCCCAAGGCGCCAGCGACCTTCTCTCCGTGAACTTGATGGGAAGTCCATGGTGTCCTACTCACAGCAGTTCAGACCTGGCTACATAATCATTGCAGTAAAATTCGCTTTTGAAGTGGCCTCTTGCAGTCAGGCTTTCGCTGCACAGGATGCGTCTGTTCCGGGTGTTCCCCACGCGCGCAAGTAACGCTTCTTCCGGCCTTGGTACTACCACTTACATGTACACTCATGATGTATGATGCCTCACCAAGTAGAATGCCTCACCATCACTGCATGCTGCGTCCCAGTGCAGCCTCTGTTCAGTAGGTGTCTCGCCTGTGCAAATCCCGGCAGTATCACCGTCTTTGATTTCTGAGCAGGGTTTGTGAATACTGAAGTACATGACATGTACACCGTCGACTACATGCCGCACTGTATCGCAGTGACTCGCTGCGGATGTAAACTAGCCGCTCGTGGATTATGCTCGGCACCCTCTCCTCGAAAAGCAGTGAAATAATTTAATTTGCAGAACCATGCAAAACCCTATGACAGTTGCTCTTTTTTTTTTTATCAACGTACCAAAGTTTGTTGCACGAAACAGACCAGAAACAGCATCAAATTCTGCAAATTTGGTGTCCGTCATAATCCGCCGAAGGCTGGACACAGTCATCATGTCGCCCTACATTACCCATACCATGGCATAGGGCCATGCCCATAGCATGGTATAGGGCCATGCCCATAGCATGGTATAGGGCCATGCCCATAGCATGGTATAGGGCCATGCCCATAGCACTTGACGAGCACTACCATCAGGGCTTGATGTACATTGTACAGTATAAGGCTCGAGAACGCACATTATTACTCATCACTAGTTCACAAGCTTCGTACTTCAGGCAGCGAATTATAAGGAAGAGCCAAGGATAAATTTCAAGTCGCTGGGGGCGGTTTTCCAGCCGTGCTGCAACCCACACTGGGCCACAGTCAGCTGGGAACTTGTGGCCAGGCACAACGGAAATATGGATGCAGCTAATGGGGTCTTTCTCGGCACTTGTGCCAGGGGTTGTGAGACTTCTCCACTCACCCCCACCGTTCGGCGCTGCACCTGCCGCTAGGGTTTACCGGGTGTTAGCGGCCGTCATCAGTTCCCTTCGGGAACGGACACGATAATTTTCTTACTTTTAACTTATAAGAAGAAAAAGGACCAAGGAAGCTGATTGTCAAGTAACTGGTGGTGTTAGTGGATATTATAGCGTACTCAGTAACTTGTAGTTCATTGGTCCTTGGTTTACTCCTAGGGAGAGAATGATAATTTTCATGGACAGTGAATGGTGGCAATTAGGGACCGGCGGATTCTGCTCGAAAAGGTGGCAGATTCTGCTCGAAAAGCAGAAAAATGGGCAGAACCATACAAACCTTATGGCGGGCAATTCCTCGAATTCTGCTCCATTTCTTTATCCACATACCAAACATGCATGAAACTTACCAGAAAAAGTACCGAATTCTGCCAATTTTTCTGCCGGCAGAATCCGCTGGACCCTAGTGTCAATGGTGCTTGTGAACACTTTGCTAAACATGTACATGTACATCTACTGCTGACAGACTTGTACAACAGTTTGTGGCTACATTTACCTCCCCTTGTATTATGTTGTGGTAAACGACCTGCATGGAGAGCGACGGTCCACAACTAATGATACTGAACTAGAACAACGGGAAGATTCATCAAGAGACAGCAGCGGTCCTCCGAACATTAGTGTCGCACAATATTGATGTTTGATTACGCGCAACTGTGTTGTTGTTGTTGTTGTTGTTGTTGTTGTTGTTGTTGTTGTTGTTGTTGTTGTTGTTGTTGTTGTTGTTGTTGTTGTTGTTGTTGTTGTTGTTGTTGTTGTTGTTGTTGTTGTTGTTGTTGTTGTTGTTGTTGTTGTTGTTGTTGTTGTTGTTGTTGTTGTTGTTGTTATTATTATTATTACACACGGCACAGAGCACCAAGCATCGTTCGTTGTAACTAGTAGTTTCATGCCCAGGCAATCATCACTTCATCAGACAACTGAGTTACATGTACATGTACAAATGTAGCTCTATTCGAACCGTTCGGAACGAATATTGAGCACTGTCCAACGCGGAGGACTCTCATTTGGTATTACAGTGGTCCCTCTATAATCCGGCACCATTTGTGCCACGAAAATCTGCTGGATAAGGGAGGGTGCTGGATTAACAAATCTGATTTACTGCTGCAATGTACATGAAGAGGACATTTTGGCTACTGAAAATTGTGCTGGTTTATCGAGGGTGCTGGATTATAAAGTGCCGGATTAGAGAGGGACGACTGTATTATTACATGACCGTATGGAGTACCGAAGATACAGGTACATGTAAGTCAATCGGCCACATGCCACTCAGGTCTATTAACTTAATGTATGAGGGAATGGGAGAACGTGTAGGCAGTTCATACTAGCGTTTCGTGTGCATGATCATGTACATGTACATGATTGTACAATAGTGCACATGTGGAAAGCTCGCTCAACATCACATGTCGAGTTGTGGTGCTTTCGCAGCAATGTTCTGACTTTAATTAAAATACTGACTTTGATTATAGGCGGGACTAAAATAATCTACTTTTGATACACATCTACATGTACATGTACATTTACAAACAAGGCCGGTCTAGGCAGCTGGAGGTAGAGAGTGCTCAGAACATGATTGTATGCCATGCCGAGGGACGGAATGTACATGTACATGTACATGTACGTGCACACTAGGAGAAACGAAGTGATATCATTACTAGTACCTTGTGTCTTCACACGACAACCATTTACCATAAATAATTAGTGAGGGATAAACCAGTAATGCCATGATTATTCTAATGTGACTGATTGTCCAGGCATCAGCTGTTACTTTCTGCTTTTCAGCTCCCTTGCTGAAGCGGATGTACATGTACATGTAGAACAGGGGTAGCCTGGAACGGGGCCAGCACAATAAGGTTCAGCATTCGTTGGTCCCAGGTCCTCCAGTTACAGTATACTTGCAGAATGCACTGCCTGGCTACCTGCTGCTAATCACTTTAGTTTAAGTCCAAGTGCTGGGGAAATCGAACTTTGTCCCAAGGGTTTCCCAAGGGCTAGTTGTTCCCATAATTTCGCTAGATGCAGGGGCGGATCCAGGAATTTTTCAGGGGGGGTTCAAATTTTTTCGAGCGCACAGAATTAAATTCGCTTCAAACTGTTTTCGGTTCGTTCACTACACCGGGAGTTGCAAAATCTTTATTGTCACGGTAGCCCTTGCATTGCTTGGCCAATGGCAATAAGACAAGGGTAATGCGTTTAGAGCCTTACAAAGTACAAAGCTGCAGCACAGGCAGAAACTAAGGCCGTGACTGCAGCATTAGATATCCTTAGCTAAAAAAACGCTAACGTAAACGCAAACCTTTCCGTACTTCGGATCGTTCAAGCTGACTTTTCCCTTAGCACAAAGTACGTTATAGTTGAGACGAAGTAGTCGTGACAACCATGGCGATCTGAATTTTCGTGGAAACAGATGCGGGAAATTCAAAATTTTGAACCAGGGATTAGTTTGCTGTCGTTCCGAAAGAATACCTTGGCGAGGTATTTTACTCTGGAATAGCAAAAGCACGGCGAAAATGAGTTTTCGCTGTTCCCAGGTCCTTGGAAACCCTTTCCTAAACGCAGCACCGAAGACTGTAAAGGGTTCTCCAGCTCCAGCACGTCTGGGAGAGGCCGATGAATTTCTTCCTCAGGAGTGCCGTGGAACTCGTCCTTTGTTTCCCAGATGGGATAGAGGGAGAAAGGCACGAAGCAGAGGACGCAGAGGACGCAGAAATTGTCAACTGAAAGGCAAAACTCGCCAAAAAAGCTAAATGTCACAAGAGGAAGCAATCTCGACTCTCGATCTCATCTCGATCTGCACGACGTGCTTTTTATCTCCCGCCAGTTACAAAACAATGCGAGTTGTTGCATTTTTTGCAGAATTTCCATAACGAACGTCGGGCCGTTATTTTGAGCTCTGTAACGTTTTTCCGTTATCCGATAACGTCTTTTGTCACGGCTGGGAGTGAGTACCGTAAAAGTTAGCGTTATCGTACTTTTGCTAAGGATGTCTATTTTCCGAACTGACGGAAGGCGAAGTTCTCTGACTGTTCTCCGGCTGGGACTCCGTGTCGTCACATTCGCGCCGTACATGGCGGAACGAAGCCAAGCTCAATGGCAACTGATCGGCCGCTCGCCTCTTTGGCAGACGTCGCGACATGGCAAACTACACGACAAACACAAACATTATCTTCGTACTGCGACGGAGGAAACCTACAGTCCAGCCAGCGCGAAATAAAACAAAACGACAAGGAAGGTAAGGAGGACAAGTGGCAGTTTCTCCACCTTTTGCTCCACCGCGACATGGCAAACTACACGACAAAAACACAAACATTATCTTCGTACTGCGACGGAGGAAACCTACAGTCCAGCCAGCGCGAAATAAAACAAAACGACAAGGAAGGTAAGGAGGACAAGTGGCAGTTTCTCCACCTTTTGCTCCACCGCGACATGGCAAACTACACGACAAAAACACAAACATTATCTTCGTACTGCGACGGAGGAAACCTACACTACAGTCCAGCCAGCGCGAAATAAAACAAAACGACAAAGAAGGAGGACAAGTGGCAGGTTTTCCTCCTTTTAGTTTTGCTCCACCACTTGAACTGTCGATCGTTTCAACTAATTCAACTTGAAGTCACATGATACGCGTACAGACCCTTCGATTCGAACGGTACGCGTACAACAGTCCCGACCACTGCATGCATGCAGTGACCTACAATGTACAGTACGTACCTGCACTGCCTGTACTTGACTACTGCATGCAGGATTGCCAGTGTCAGTGAACATGGTGAAGTCTACTGCAGTCTGCAGTACTGGCTACGCTACATGCACGCTACACTTCGCTGGCTGCGCACGTGGAGATCACAAAAAAATCGACTGGACCCATGGTCGAAATTATTTTAGGGGGTTCGTCCGAACCCCCTGAACCCCCCCTGTATCCGCCCCTGAGATGAAGAGCGTGGCACATCTCTCCTCTCCTGTGTAGTAACCCCTTGGCTTGTGAATGCCGCCTTGATATCAGTTTTATTTTGCAAACATGTACAGAACAAGAAGGGCAAGCAAGGCTAATTATTATTATTTGTCACCCACCGAAGGATGTGGCCTGATGATTGCGTGAGTATGAAACTTAAAGTAGCAGCAAACAAGCCTTGATTGTCCTTGTTGTTCTGTTGTGTATTTGTCACACATGTAAAGACTTTTGTGATGTAGGATGTGCGCACTCAATATACACAGCTGTTCATTTACCGGACATGTAGCAGTCACTGTTCCTGGTTGCTCCCTGCGTCGGAGCTCCGGCTTTTCAGTCGACTTTGGCTGGAGACACTTTGTTCTTGTTAACGGCCGACGCGAGCTCACGGGTACATGTGGGACGCCTTAGCACATCACCCAAGTCGCTATTGGTGAGCACACATTGCACATACATGTACATGTACATGGTAGATCTACTACTAGTCACTGAAGTCACGTTTGTGCCCTAGGCTACATGCATGTAGATTGAGATTGAGTAATATTTATTATGCATGTACTTGTACATGTACGCACATCGTGTACAAAGGTTGAGGGCCTAGGGCCAGAGGAAAGGGGAAAGTATGAAGAAAAATGTGGATGTCACCACCAAGACTCGAACCAGGGACATTCGTTCTTTTTAATTAGTTGTTATAATACTATAATTATTATGGTACCATGAAGAAACCATTGATTGATTGATATCATGGAGAAGCGGTTTCAGTACAAGTGCCCATTGAAAATCCCACGTGATCTTGCCTCCACTTACAAAACAGAGCCACTGCTTGGAGTAGGCTTACATTCTGTGCAAATAGTTTTGCAGCATTGGCGCACCATCTGAAACCCATTTTCTTCCTCGCATTTCCGCCTCTTGGTCTGCCGCCGTGCGTTTCATTTCATTCTTTTCCCGCACGTTGAACGGATGTGCAAACGAGAGGAAAATGTTGAGCCAATGCCCCAAATAGCAAAAATCCCACGTGTTGCGTCTGGTCCGGCCAGTGTCTGGCCGAACTATTCAAGTACAATGTAACTCGTTTGTCCATGCAGCACATAGTATTATTAGTAAGGTTTAGAGTAATGGCGTAAAAGTAAGTAATACTAATAGTACACGATGGGCACTGGCCATCAAAATGACCTTCCCTTCGACAGGATCAGTCCGGTAGCGTGAGCTATTTTCAGTGTTGTCAGCGCCTATTTTCAGGCTTCTGCGAAGTGATACATACATGTCTACCCGTGTCGCGCTACTGCACAGCGAATGATCAGAATATTGATCACGTCTTGTGTAGTTTTACAAATATTCAATAAATCTGTTTTCAACTGTTTTGTGATCATGGTGATCGCCTGCTAAAAATGCATGATGTGGAGGATGAATCAGCGTGCGCCTGCTGATACATGTAGTTGGAGTCGAGTGTACTACAAAAATGTAGTGTGTGACTGAAGTGTGAAGTCGCCAGTTGCCGCGCTAGCGCTGTCGCGACGTCGGCATGTCACTCAACTCATAATAAATAGTGATGCATGTACGGGGCCTACGGCTACGGGCTAGGCTCAGGCTGGCAGTAGCCGCACTACGTAGTGCACTACGTAGTGCTGTGTGTGCCCGTTTGTCAAAATCAGGTGACAGGAACTAGGTTTGGCCAGCATAGCCATCATAAACAGACGCTCGCCGCTGCGAGCAGCTATTTCATTCCGACCCCAGAAGTCCTGGAAATATCTTCTTCTTTCTAGCATTTGCAGCTGGATTCCGGCGAGGGTAGATATCTTCGAGCTGAAACAGGTCCAATGCCATTACACAGGTCCGTAGTTGTTAGCAAGACGATTGAGTAAAATGCTATGTCTGTAGATCTACTAGTCGTGCATTTTCTGTCGAGGTTGTTTCGTTTTGCGGACGCATCGCCGTCGTGGACTCTGTCCGGTGACACAGATAGCGGAGCAGTGCGCTCGCGCCGTCGTTGTCGATTTCCCCTTTCACGCATCTAGCCCTGATGCTGTGCAATCATGGACGAGGTGGACAAGGACTTGTTAGAACGCCTGCGCCTAGAGATCACCAATGTCTTGCATGTCGAGGATGTTCTAGACTACTTACGGTTCAGTCGAATCTTGACGGCCAATGACGACGAGATAATACGGCGCGGCCACACCCGAACGTATCGTTGCGATCTTCTACTGGATATTCTACCAACGCGAGGTGAGACGGCTTACGACGCGTTCGTCGAGGCTCTGGAGTTCGTTACTCGCGAGCAGAAGATCGACGGCTACCGACGGCTCATCAAGAAGCTGAAGCGACGTACGGAGGATTCCGTGTCCGAAACGGAGGAGGATTCTGACGACGAGGTTCGAATACATCGCATGGTTAGCGGTGCAGGTAGGGTCACCAATGCTCTATATGACTGTGTGTACTGTTGCCATTCCGCTGCCGGGCTTTTGAGTTCGTCTTTTGTGTCCGTGGCGTGCGCATGGTGTGAGTTCATCATGGATGTTCTGCATGCAGCTCGTTCGATGCCTGCTTCTAATATAATAAAGTTCTATGTTGCACAGACAGTGACTGTTTTTGTGACAAAAATGTGTTCCCCAACGTACGTATTGTGGCGAACTAAATGTTACATGTTCTGCTTTGTAGTAGGATGCCAAAGGAATCTTCTAGTAATTTGGAATCTTCTGCTACTAGTTCTAGTATTTTGCTTCTTGGCAATGCGGATTCTGAAATGATTATCGCGGCCGAATGGAACAGGTGTTTCAGTGCTGTCACGCGAGACGAGATGACCATCGCCACTAGTAGTATACTGCAATCCTGGCCTGCTGGATAAACAGTCCTTACTCCCTGGCCTTGGCTTGGCACAGATTTACAGTGCCAGACGCTATCCTCAGAGCTAGAGAGGCGCTTTACTGAGGACAGTGAACCGGAAGAGAAGGAACAAAACGATCACTGACTTGTGATGGTTGCATTGCAATAATGTTTCATCATTATTTTTACGATGTCACAAAATAACCAGTGTCTGTTCGCGCTTCGCATCGAAAACTGACAGCTGTCAGCTGATAGTACTATTCTACTTTCTAGTGCTCCTGCTCGTACTATCGATCTATAACTAGTATGACTGTGCTGAGTCTGTTGCCTTATGGCCTCGTGCGTGAAACTCGTCCAAACTTTACTTGTTGGGTACAAACTGTAGATGTATTTTCTTTGGATTTACTCAGCACATCACGCGAGACGAATCTAGTCAACTACATGACATGTACTAGTACTTGTACATGTACAATGAGTCTGTAGCCGGCCGTCTACATTAATTTTAGTTGTTTGCCAGTCGTAGTACGGTCTACCCGCTGGGCTCTTTGCGCTGTATCCGGGATATTAGTCTTGTTGTCTTGTTCACGTGCACCCTTGCTGCACTCGCGGCGCAGTCCTTCGCAGCTAGCTCAGTTCGCTGGATCGAAACGCCTTCAACGAATCACCGGATGATGGTTTGCAGCTGCAGTGTCGTTATGAGTACATGTACAATCATGTAGAATCGTTGAGTGCCTGCCAGACATAAACGACGTTACGTTCTTTGTCGCAGCCTAGCATACTCGTGGCTGTTCGGAGCACACTTGCGCGAAGTTGCGGTAGGTGATGACTACAGTGTAGATCTACTTTGTAGAGATTCGTTTATAGAAAGAACTGTGTATGTGTGTCGGATAATGATCGCCGACACCGGCATGTCATGTTTTTTGTTGATTGCTTCGCATTTACACATTTTTACAGTAACAGCTTTTTTCTCCTGTGGCCTGATAATCTGTCAGGGCAGGTCGGAGCTGCCTTACGCCGTTAGCTAGCACAGAGTAGGCATACCGGGGAATGATCCCCTGCGGATTTTAGAATGCTAAGACTAGTAGGAGGGCAGTCACAATGTGAGAGATCAGAATACATACTGTAATGTGATTCAAGTAACTGTGCGAAAATTGTCGTCCGTTCGCCTGGTATTAGCTGCTGTGAGTTTTCAGTTTGCGAGTTTGGGATGACGACTGTGCCAGCTGGGAGCATGCAGCCACTTGACCATAAGATCGTACTGTCTGTACATGTATATCACGGGGACATGGTGGCCAGGTTGCAATCAACTGCACTGATGGTCAGCCGCCCCCCTGCGACAGATTCTGTCCCCTTGGGCCCCCGTCAGCAGTCCCAAGTAATTTTCCGACCAGTCAGGTGCAGGACGATCTCGTGGCTGCAGCTCTAGAAGTGCTTTCTAAGTAATGAACCTGAGTGGAAACATCCTGCTTATTGTAACTTTCAGGAACTTGTCAATTACTGAATCAGGACAAAAACACCATGTTTACCTTAGTGACGCGCATATAAGCACATGTGCCTATACCCGGGCATAAGCGCACCCTCACAAATAAGCGCATGGGCTTATAAGTGAGCCTACATGCAGTCGATCCCGCGACACACAGACACCACACAAAAACACCATGTTCACATACAATGTCATGTAGTTCAATGTGCATTGCGGCACTACACTATGTGCATGCAAGGTACCGGTACACTACTAGCAACTCAGGCGCATGCGCCTATGTGTGAGACAAAAACAACCCGCAAAAATTTGCAAATAACGCAATAACTCACTCACAAGCGCAGTGGCCTTTATGTGCGTCACTACGGTACAAATGGGACTAGTGTGGCAGCAAAGTAGCTTGGTCAGTAAGCTATTATGTCATGACCCCACCTCCGACCTTGTGGGTCAGCTTGCGTTCCCAACAACACCAAAGAGAACCGCCGCGAAGTGTGAGCAAGACCCAGAATCTCAAGTGCCCAGTATACGCATGCCCTCACTAAACATCACACCAAGAGTTCCATATTCAAGCCAAGGACATACCTTGCGAGATAAATGAGAATAGGAATAAGAGGAGATCGAGGATGAAGACACGGTGCCGGAGCGAGAGCGAATGCAAGCAAAACAAAGGACCTTATACTCGAGGAACAACCATGACAACACAGAACACAGAGGGGATGCAGAAGGCGGGATAGGATTGGGCGGGATGCAAAACGGCAGAAGTTAGATTCATGCTCAGTGTCAAAATAATAGAGCGCCATATTGTAACAGATGTGTGGTATAGCAGTACATGTAATGTGTTCGGACATGAATTATGCAACGTGTTAACATGTCTTTCTCTCAAACCAGTGAATGTAAAAATGTGCAAAAATTATTATAATGAAGTCAAGTGAGGTGAGTGATAAGATAATGAATTGGAACAGAGTTACGGTATTCCCCACTGCTCCCGTGCTAGCACGACTTGTCAGGTCGTGGATCGTTGGTCAACTGTCGCTGGTTCATCAGCTGCGAGGCTTGCCACCACGTTTGCCAATACGCCTTCTTCGACTTCGGGTCACGACAATTGCACCCCCCCCCCCTCCACTTTCACTTTTTCATTGTCTACAACAGCAGTACCCGTACCTAGTTAAGAATGTAAAGCCACGGAAACAAGTTCGGTAAACAAGCGTTTTGAAGAAAAGTTTGGCTTTTTTACTTTTTTTTTACTATGTTCACGAATCCAACTCAAGGAATAATGAAAGACCATGGTACCGAGACTAGGACGAATGTGACAACTACTGAGAAGGGGCTGCACCGAGATGCAGCAGTGATGGTGGGACATTGATGGCTCTGCCGACCTGAGGTCTCGTCATCACGGGCAAAAGCAAAATAGAATTGTACGGGTCAGCAAAATGAAAAGGGTGGAAGTGCAAAGATGGATGGATGATCAGCGGTGAAGGACAAGAACACATAAATTCCAGAAGGGGAGTATGCACGTGGTATTTGTTCCCTGAGATGGTCAGTGATTTTCTGGAGTGTGTGCACCATTCCCAATCTGCAAGCAACACTGGCTTGTCAACATCGCAGAACACAACGAGAGAGAGAGAGAGAGAGAAACAGAGAAACAGAGAAGGAAACAGAGAGGAACAGAGAGAGAGAGAGAGAGAGAGAGAGAGAGAGAGAGAGAGAGAGAGAGAGAGAGAGAGAGAGAGAGAGAGAGACTCAGAGAGAGAGAGAGAGAGAGAGAGAGAGAGAGAGAGAGAGAGAGAGAGAGAGAGAGAGAGAGAGAGAGAGAGAGAGAGAGAGAGAGAGAGAGAGAGAGAGAGAGAGAGAGAGAGAGAGAGAGAGAGAGAGAGAGGAACAGAGAGGAACAGAGAGGAACAGAGAGGAACAGAGAGGAACAGAGAGGAACAGAGAGAGAGAGAGAGAGAGAGAGAGAGAGAGAGAGAGAGAGAGAGAGAGAGAGAGAGAGAGAGAGAGAGAGAGAGAGAGACACCAGATCGTCCCGTAACCGTGTTAACTCCCAGTTGGTTAGCGCACCCAGGACAACCTTGTCAGTTACCAGTATAGAGGGAATATATGAAATTCTGCTAATCCAGATTCATCCAGGATAACCCTGTACCACTTTTGTCTTGTGAATACATCCACACATCATTTGTCATGTGTTACATGCATGGACGTGATTTGAAGTATGAACCAGCTGTCACCACCAGACCTGTATTTTCAAGTGGTGCTCTTCGATTTTGCGACTTAAACTGTGTATTGCTGAATAGCGTGTCAAGCCACACCCGATCACTTCTCACCCTATACCCCATTTTTCTACTTTGGGGTTGGTATGCACATCTCTCTACTGTGCGATTTCGAACCTGAGAGCAGGGGGTCACCCGCGCCGCCAACACACTTCCAATACGACCTTCAAAAACACCTACACATGTTTTAGTCGATCAGGAGGAGGGTTGTTTGGTGGAAACTCCATGGATAAATGGACGAAGTGGTGGCCCGCAGACGTGAATGTATTTGCTTCATGTGTTCCTCCTTTGAAGTAGATATGTCGGTTGATGCGGCCGAGAATCCTGCTCCCTTTACTTTTCTTACATTGTTTTTTGACAGTAATTTCGTAATTGTACCTTCTTCTTTTTCTTTCGTAGAGCATGGCAGGGGAGAGTTGCGTATTGTCATCACATCGGAAACTGGTAAGTGTGTGTGTGTGTGTCTGTGTGTATGGATGTCGCTGCACATACCGGGTTCGATTCCCGATGATTATGGTCACACACGTCTTTCTTCTCTTTCTCAGACTCTTCCTGACTTTTCTTTCATTCTCCTGGGTGGTTACCAACAGCCAGTGCATGCCGGAGTATGTGGTGTGATGTGTGTGCGGGGAAAAAAAATAAAAAAATATAAATGAAAAGACCAAAAATAGGGATTCACTGGCCAGAAAATGTCACTCCAAATAGCTGTATGGTGTAGACCAGGCTGAATAGTGACGGTCAATTCCTCAGCCGTGCAAGCTGTTGAATGGTGTAATCCCAGCACAAGCTGCTATGGCTTCGGCCGTAGCATTGCTATCATCGCCTCCGGCGATGGGCGTCAAAGGTCAAAGGTGTATGGATGTTTCCATGTGTCTGTGTTTTTTGTGTGTGTATGTGCCCCCGTGTGTTCTTGTGTATGAATACATGAGCTCGTTACTTGCAAAAATGCATTTTCATTATTTCTTCCTTCGAGGGACATGATCGATTTCTGCAATTTAGATAGAATGAGCAAATTCATGATTATTTTTGTGTTTGTGTGTTCGCATGTGTGTGTCTGTGTGTGTGTGAGTGTGTGTGTGTGTGTGTGTGTGTGTGTTTGTGTTTGCTTGTATGTGCATGTGTGTGTTTGTGTGTGGGTGGGTATACGTGTCTGTGTCTGTGTGTGTGGGTGTGGGTGTGTGCGGTGTTGGGTGGGTGCGTACATGTATGTGTGTGTGTGTGTGTGTTTGTGTGTGTGTGTGTGTGTGTGTGTGTGTGTGTGTGTGTGTGTGTGTATGTACGTGTGTATGTATGTGTGTGTATGCATGTATGTGTATGTATGTGTATGGATGTTTTTGTGTGTATGGATGTGTATGTGTACGTGTGTGTATGTGTGTATGAAGCGGCAGCACCGGCACCAGCACCAGGAACACTTCCACACGCGGCGGCCAGCAGCCAGCACCCTTGCAGCACCATCACGGGCACTAACGTACACTTGTCGTGTGAACAGCAGATCTGTGATCTGGTGCAGCAGCGCAACCTTGCTCGCGAGGAGATCAGCATTCTTCAGCGAGACCTGGCCAAGTATGAACACTTGGAAAAGGTGAGCTGCATACATGTGGAGTAAAACTGTCGATGTGACCACTCGGATACGGCGACCACCTGTTCTAGAAGACCACTGAAATCAACAGCAAGGAATGCTATTTCCAGTCAAGTGACCCTGGATAAGGAGACCACCTGGTAGCGGGGACCAGTTTTTGAAGGTCCCTTGAGCGGTCATCTTGGACAGGTTTCACTGTTCGCTGGTGCTTGACTGTTTGCATCATACTGTTGAAGGTAAAATAGTCCCGGAAGGAAAAAAATAAAACATTGCGGGACTAACAGTTCTTCTCCCGTCATCAGGGTGAAGCAAACAGTCAAGCTGCCTGTTTTGTTGTCATGGGGACCAGGCCTTAACTGTGCATAATAGAGAGGTTCCGCACTACGTAACGTTGAGCAACTTTACGTTAGTGGGCAGGGAAAACCCGTGAGTTCGCGAGTTTTCACTCCACTTACGGAAAGTGGTCTACATAGAGTACGTAGATAGGGAGGGCTCTGATAACGGAGGTGCTCCGTAAGTGGATTGGGGTACAAATTTATGACTCCCTCCCCAGGTCGGCCCGGTCGAGTTGCCAAGGGCAGCTACATGATTCGAAAAATCGGTATGACGGAACATAGATGCGCTTGCAGTGTACATAAGACTTTCCATAGCTGGACTAGGTTTTTCTAACGTAATTGCTAGGATTATGCGTAATCTCTCTATTGTAGCAAGAAGGAGCCCCGAGTTATTGTGCTGGCCGGTAACTTGGTAGGGCGCTGGTGCCACAAGACAGGGGCAGGGCACTGGGTTAGAATCCCGCTAGTGCATCCTTCTTTTGCAACAATATGTGTTTGAAGTCAGTTACTGACTGGCCAGTGCATGTGCTTTTGTGTCCTATATAACATGCCGATTAGGATCATGTGGAACTGAAGTCCCAGCTAGCTGACGAAGAGGAGGAGAACAAACAGCGGTTTGTGGAGCTGCGACACGCACTGGAGCAGAACTACGTGTTCAGCAGAGAGGTAGGGCTGTGCACAAAGTATAGGCCTGTCCGCATTATGTGTCCAATTTTTTTTTAAATTTAGGTTGAATTTTCGCACTTGGTCCTAGGCCCCCCACTTAAGATTGCGCGAATAAACTTCTTTTCGTAGGTGCCTCAGTAGGTGCCTCCACTGCTAGAACTTTGAGCCGTCTCGAATCTGTTCTAATTCTTCGTTGTACGTATATGCGTTTGTGGGTCCTCCAATCAGATGTGCTGTATACGATTTGTGACTTTTGGATCTCCCGCATTTATGCTCTCCCCGTTTTTCTATTCTCTTAGCTGGATCGTCTCAATGGAGAACTCGATGAGTCTAATGCGGAGATGGAGAGGTTGCGACGCATCCAGGCCGAGACGAACGCGTCGGAGGGCTCGACGTTTCGCTTCCGCGATCTCTACACGGAGGTGAGCGCGGAGCGTGACGATCTGAAGAAGAAACTTGGAGTGGAGATGGCCACCACTGCGGAGCTAACTGCCAAGGTGAGTGAGAGAGAGGGAGAGAGAGAGAGAGAGAGAGAGAGAGAGAGAGAGAGAGAGAGAGAGAGAGAGAGAGAGAGAGAGAGAGAGAGAGAGAGAGAGAGAGAGAGAGAGAGAGAGAGAGAGAGAGAGAGAGAGGAAGAGAGAGGAGCTTGCTTGTGGTTTGCAACAGTGTGTTCAGTGTTCCAAAGGTTGCGGGAATTTTTCATAGAATGAGTGCCTCCAGCTTGATTGATTGCTGTTGTTATGTTTTTCCTCAGTTACGTCTTTCTAGGCGATTCAGACTACAGCCAAACTGTGACCAGGTTACTTGGCATGTAGTGTTTTGAGCTCTGTAACGAGCGACCGCAACTCTCTCTCTGAGTACATTTGTCATGTGTACTATGTTGTCGCCGGGTTCTCGGCATACAGGTGGAGACGACGGGTAAAGAGATAACGGAGCTACGGAATGCCGCGCAGGAGGAACGTCACCTGAACGCATCACTGCGAGAACAGCTCAAGCTGGCTGATATCGAGGTATGCTAGCATTGCAGTGGGTTCGTAAAATCAGTGTTCAATATAGGTTATGCGATTTCATCTTCAGTTGAGATGCGTTGGCAAAGTCGGGGATTCACGGCACAGCGCTGCACTTGCACACTTGCACTGCACAAAATCCACATTTTGGTGCCAGTTTTGAAATGGCTCCAGTCATCTTGAATGTGTTTACCGGCTGGTGCCCCTAGACCTTTTGATTACACTAAGCTGAAAATATGATTACTTCATTTTCTTAAATTTGGCAGTTGTGGGGTTTTGAATCTCAGCTCTTCACATATACCCTCATCTCTGTTGTGCAATTGGGCTTCAGGTGAAGTTTGAGCGTCACAACAGCCTGACCTGGCGCAGTCGCCTGAACGAAAAGGAGAACCGCAGCAGCAGCAAAGAGCTGAGTGATCTTACGCATAGGTACAAGCAGCGCTGCGAAGACCTCAATCTCGCCGCAAAGGAGATGAAAGAGCTGCGCAATGAACTGGAGCTGACGACATCCTCCATGAAGGTAGGACGTCTGGAATTGATGGGAGTTGTCGAGTAACATGATTTGTATCTTTGTTGCCAAGTTGGTTCCAGTAGAACCTGTCTGAGCTCTGTGTGTGTGTGTGTGTGTGTGTGTGTGTGTGTGTGTGTGTGTGTGTGTGTGTGTGTGTGTGTGTGTGTGTGTGTGTGCGTATGTGCGTGTGAATGTATGTGTGTGCATGTGTTTCTGTGTGCATGATTGGTACGCGCGTGTACTTCTCTGTATGTGTGGGTATTACACATGGAACTCACAGACATCCACCCAGATGCTGGAAGACACCGAACGTCGCTGCATGACGCAGAGTAAGGTATTGCAAGAGCTGGGCGAGAAATACGGTGCTGCCACCAACGAAAGCCGCAATTACAAGTAAGTCATTTCGCGCAGCGCTTGCAGCTGTGTTGTGATGTCTGCGACTGTTGTGTGGATACTGCTCTGTATGTTCCTGCTGCCGGTTCGAGTCCTGGTGTTGACAGTCAATTTTTTCTTCAGACTTTTCCCGTTTTGTGTCTTTCCCTCAAACCAGTGAATGTTATTATTTAGCCCGCACTATAAACACTCGTAATAAAACAAAGGTCACTGCGGCTTTTACTATGATGTACAAATGAATACTGTAAATATACAAAATTTCGGCGCTGCAAAATTTCGGCACTTCACGATTTTTGACATTTCGGCGGCGATTTATTTTCGGCATGGGGTAGAGGGCATGGTATAGTGCGACAGATGCTGTGAAAAATTTCATCGGCGTTTTAATTTAGGCGTTTTGGGTCGGTGCCGAATATAGCCGAAATTAAATAGCTGCCGAAAATTTGTATAATTACAGTAGTGATACATAGTGTAGATCTCATCATCTCGTGACAACGATATGAGTGCGGCTTAGATTCCGGAGAGTACGGTATGTGGCTTTTTTCATTCTACTCGTGAATATGCGGCTCATTATGGCACTTCAGCATGTTTTGAGGTGTGTATGCTCAGGCTGTTTGCTTTTCAGAAGCACAATAATACTAGATGTGCGTGCTGGTGTGCGTGCTGGTGTACTTCAGAGTGAAGCATAGACGCACTCGTACAGCAGGGGTTCACATCATCACCATTTTTATAATAATAATTTGCAAGTAGGGGTAACCAGAGGTTGTGACATCATTCAATACGAATGTGCCACTAGTGATGACGTCATTACATGGCCTCTAGCTCTACTGGGGTCCACTGTCACTTCCTTGCTCTGTTGCAGGAGCCAGCTACATCGTCTCGCCATCGAACTGCAAGAAGTGCAGAACGCTAAGGATGAGACTCAGTCCCAGTGCCGCATACTCCAAGATGAAATGCTGCTCCGAGACAAGCGCGCGGAGAACATCGAGGAGCTGCACGCTCGCTGGCGAAACGACATGGACACGCTTCTCCGACAACTGGAAGAGGTGTGGGAGCTTACCGTACTGTCCTCCGCGGAAGAACTGCGGGGTCAGCCTTCTAGTGTAGGCCGTTCTTATCTTTCATGTACTGTAAAAGCCATTATTCTAACGAGGCGCATATATAACGATATCCCAAAATTGACTAGTTTACGTGTACCAAAGGTAACGATTCTCACTCATTCTCAACGCTCAATAGGACGGTATTATGTATCGATTTCTGTATAACGATTTCTATTTTAACGACAGATTTCTCCTCATCAACTCGTTAGAGTTAGCACTTCGTTTTTATATATGGCTTTTACAGTATAACAGTCTATGCACAGTCGAGGTGCCTTGTAGTTACATTGGTATGCTGTGCTTGATGAAATTCTAGCCTGGCCGTTTATTGGCGCTCCGTTCTTCGGCGCCCGACAGTACCGTATGCAATTCCGTCATTAGTTGAGATGCTTTGCGTATACAGCTGCGCTCACTGAAATCCGACCCGAAGTGCAAAGCTGACGCCCTGGACCAGTTCCGATTACATCATTGTATGTGTACATGTGTACGTCCAGCCGCATTCCTGCCGCTTCCAGGGTGTCAAGGGCCGTGGAAGTTGAGGGCGTCAGCTTTGCACGTTGGGTCGGATTTCAGTGAGCGCAAATGTACATGTACTAGGGGTGAGTAAACAGTGATGGAATGGTCCTTTTCAAACACCTCGTACGTTTCCATGTTGCCAGCAACGGCCACTGGTTATAATAAAAAAGGGGAAGGGGACAGGCACACACACACGCACGCACGAGCGCACACACACACACACGTGCGTGCACCTCCGCTTTAGGGGCCGCATCTTCGCCGTAGTTCTTGGCGGTGGTGGTGCTCATTGTGTATATTCTTCAATGTCACCGTAAAAACATGTGAACTTTCATTTGCTGCTATCTACTTAGATGCGTCAAGACCGTGACAAAACCAAATCGTTACATCTACGTGAAATGCAGGCATCAGACACTGCTAAGAACAAGGCCGCCGACCTCCAGCACCGCTTCAACCAATCCGACTTCAACTACAACAAATGCAAGGCTGAGCTCAATGAAGCCAAGCAAAACGTACGTGTGTGTGTGTGCGTGCGTGCGTGCGTGTGTGTGTGTGTGTGTGTGTGTGTGTGTGTGTGTGCGTGTGTGTGTGTGTGCGTGCGTGTGCGTGCGTGCGTGTGTGTGTGTGTGTGTGTGTGTGTGTGTGTGTGTGTGTGTGTGTGTGTGTGTGTGTGCGTGTGTGCGTGTGCGCGCGTGTGCGCGTGTGCCTGCGAGCGCGTGCGCGTGTGTGTGTGTGTGTGTGTGTACCTGTGGGTGTACATGTACTGCAAGTCAACAAATATTCGGTGCATATATATTCTCGGCTACGTCAGGCGAAATAGCACGTCATAGTACATTCGAGATCAGCGGAAAGATGACGACGTCCACTAATTTAGTATCTGTGCACACGAATCTGCTGTGTGTGTTACTCTGTGTGTCAGCTATGGCATCATCGCCTGTGGTTCCATGCCTAGCATGTACATCTGAACCATCCTGCAAAGTTTGAATGACGTAGGTTGAGCGATCGCTCCGCGAAACATACTTTTTGAAATTCTCTTCATAGTATATCTTCCACCATTGAAATTTCGAAATTCTTCGAATTTTGTGCTGAGAGGGGTGGCTTGCAACCTCGATATGGCTTGTTCCAGGCATGCTTTGGAGCCATCGCCTGTTGAAACAGTGGCTGGAAGCTGCCCTGCAACTGTTCCAACAGGAAATTAATCGATCCGAGAAAGCGCGAGTCCGCGAATCTCGGTTGAATATTGAGTATTTCAAGCCTTTTCACGACGAAGATGGAGTTCTTTTTGGAGATGGACGTCGAGGCAAAGGACATGGTGTCCGACTTCTGGCGTCTGGTGAAGCCAGGGATCATTTGTCCAGTCAGATCGGCAGCCTAACCGTCGGTAAGCTTGTGTTTGGATCCCGTTCTGCTCGATGTGGTAGATCACAAACAATTTGATATCGCACAAATTGATCTCAGCATTGTGCGTACGGTATTTTATATTCAGAAAATCCCAAAGTGTCCTCTGCCTTCATGATTGAATGTCCACTTCGTTTGAACAACGAACACAACAATCGAGGACGGCTTTGCAATGAAAAATACAGCTATACTGGAGCTGAAAAAAATAAGAAAAAAACGTGCTCAGGATGAGACTCGAGTACACGCATACTCTCCAAGCAGGTGAAACGCAAAATTTTGTGAATAATGTGTGTCGCCGACTGACCAGTAATTTCGCCTGACGATTTTCGGCCTGGTCATGTTTGGCCGAAAATTTGTTGCGGTCGAAATTTTGTTTTTCAAGGTTCAGTATGACAGTGTATACAGACGTCAGCAGTACATGCCGGAAATTTGATGTGGCCAAAATGGGTTTCAGCCCTGTGAGGCCGAAATTTGAATGTGCCGAAAATCTGTCGACTTACAGCATGTGTTTGGGTGGAAGTAGGTCTTGCACATAATTTCTAATCAGTTCTAGCTTTCACATCTCACGCCAATTACGCTTTACAATCCATGGTATCCTATTCCTCCGTCCTCCATTCTGTATTCAGGGATTTCTTCTTGAGTATCAGTTGCATCAGCTTGCTTCCATCGTCAACAATCTCCTGGATTCGTCCGAAGCAAAGAAGCTGGATCAGGACCGAGCACGCTTGCACCTCACACTACATCGTGCTGTCGTTGCTGGAAACATACCTGAGGGTCTGCAAGAACTCGAGGCAAGTTCCTTTTGTTGGTCTCCCAGCCTTTCAACTAGATTGTGGATCCAGGATGATCGTCTTAGGATTTATGTAAAGATGGGGAGTCAGTGGGGTGGTGTGTGTGTGTGCGTGCGTGCGTGCGTGTGTGTGTGAGTGGGGGTGGGGGGAGGGGTAATGGGAGTTGGGGGAGGGGTGGGGAGCGGGAGGTGTGTATGTGTGTGTGTGGGGGGGGGGTAATGGAAGGGGATAGTGTGTGTATGGGGAGGGGGGGGGGGGAGGGTGCGGAGGTGGACGGAGTGGGTAGGTGTGGAAGGGTGTGTATGTAGGGGAAGGTGTGCGGAGGTGGGGGAGGGGAATGTAACCACTATTGAGCCCTAATCCATTGAATATTTCTGCATGTGCTGAAGAGTGCAATTGTCTGCTATGGGTCATGATGAGACATCCCTACTTATGATAGAATTCCGGATCATACTTCATTGCTTCTGTTCCCTTGTTCTGTTCATGTTGGTACAGATACCCAAAGATCGCCGACTACCTATCATGGAAATTGCACTGAATAAGGCAGACGGTTAGTTGATTCAGCCTGCAATCCATCTTCAGAAAACAGTAGTCATCTGATCACTATGCCAGTGCAGTGCACTGTGTAACGATATCCAATATACAGGAAACAATCTGCAGTGCATGTAGCTCCAGTGCATTGCACTCTGTGTGACTGAGTGTGGTGCAGTATGTGTGACTCGAGTGCGGTGTAGTGCGCGTGTGACTCGAGTGTGGTCACACGACCTCCCATAAACAGTCCATTACCCTCTGAATGGACATTTCAGACTCAGAGATGTATGGGCAGTACAGTGTGTGGTGAACCCTTCGCGGACCAAGACTTCACCCACGGGGTTTGGGACTCTTTCTGTGTCACTGCATTGGAATCATGGGTGCTTTAGTTTGTTCCATATTGGCTCCACGATTTAAGCCCTTCACGATAACGGACATATTTATCTTTGCGATTGATCACAGGTTCCTCCGACAACAAGTTTGGTCTCTCCCTGGAAAGTCACATCGTGGTAGCTAAGTCACAAGTGCCGAGCACGCAGAACTACCGCGATCTGTTGCTGCCGGGCGATCGCATTCTGAAGGTATTGTCACCTGTTTGTGGGCGTGTTTTTCACATGGGTGTGCGTGTTACGGCACCTCTCCAAGGGTAATTGTTGCATGCGATTGTGGCTCTTTGCACTGAAACGCATGTATGCGGTTATGTGCATGATGGCTGAAAAGCGGCTTTGGAAGCAGATAAAAGACAAAATGTAATCAACAAGTTGCGTACAAACGGGAAGGGGGGGGGGATATGATATACCGGAAGAATAACTTACAAGACAACAATGAATTGAATAGGGAAACTGTGCATGTACAGTGTTTTTGTGAAAAATATGGAATGTGTACGTGTGTGCGTGCGAATGCAGGTGAATGGGTTTACGGTGACAGATCAGCAAGTATCAGCCGTCGATGAATACCTGCAGCAAAGTCCACCCACGGCACGCCTCCTCATCTTCAGATCCCCGACGAGTTTTCTGTCTCCTGTTGGAAGTGCGGTAAGCCCTCAAGACATCATCTCGTTTCCCATTTCGTGTTAATGTTCTCCCTCCCCAGGACTCTTGTCCAGTGGAGCATAGATGCGTGTCTTGTTTATAATTTAGAATGTATTCCGTTTTCGTTAAGGCCGGAAAGGTTTCAGCTGCAACCCAAATTTCATCGTTGATTGTCAATTTATGTGGCAATGTGTGTTCGGTACAATGATGTGCATTCTGTGCGTCGTGTTCTTCTTCTGTATGCGAGACTGTATGTGTGTGCAACTATGTGTGTCCTTGCATGCACTTGCATGTGTGTGTACGTATGTGAGTGTATGTTTACACGCGCTCTGGGGTGTTGTACATGAGTGTGTGTGTGTGTGTGTGTGTGTGCGCGCGCGCGCGCGCGTGCGTGCGTGCTTGTGTGTGCGTGTGCGTGTGTACATGTATATATGTGTGTGTGTGTGTGTGTGTGTGTGTGTGTGTGTGTGTGTGTGTGTGTGTGTGTGTGTGTGTGTGTTTGTATTTGTGTCTGTGCTCCATAGAAAATACCACTGCTACAATCCCCGGCACAGGGCTCAAACTCGTCCAGTCTACAGCGTTCACCAAAGACCACGTCGGTTAGTTGTAATGCTGTTGGAAATCGGTCAATGTGCATCCATGCCATTCATCAAACCTCAGTCATGTACAGCAATGTTGCCTGATCTTGATTTTACAATGCAGCCGCAGACAGAGGATTGCTTGAAATCAACCTTTTCTAAAAGAGCATACTTTGTTGCAGTGATGGCCACATCACGGTGTATTCAATGTGTTCAAAGTACCATGAAACCTGTCTAAGGCGACCGCTCAAGGGACCATCAAAATAATTATGGTCTCTGTTACCAGGTGGTCACCTTATCCAGGGTCATTTGACTGGAAATAGCATCCCTTGGGTCCTGGTTCCAGTGGTCTTCTTGGACAGGTGGTCTTCTTGGACAGGTGGTCGCCTTATCAGGTTTTACTCTATGTGCTCTGATTGGCGTTCATGTTGCTGCGAATGAGGTTAACATTTATTGATACTTCACCAGCCATCTCTCCGGGGTGTTGTGTGCATGACTGTATGTGTGCGCAAGTACGCCCATGAATGTGTTTTGGGTGTGTGTACGTGTTTTTTTTGTGTTTACGTGTGTGTGAATATGTGTGTATATGTGTGTACACGAGTGTGTTTGTATGTGTGTATGTGTGTGTGTGCACGTGTGCGCGTGCTTGTGTGGTCGTACGCACGCACGCGCGCACGCAAAAGCACGTACATAAGTACACGCATATGTGACTGTGTGCACTGCGAAACTATGATCGTCACCTGTGGTTGCAATGGATGCGTACAGTGTAGAGATGTTTGCTAATGGCTGCATGTGTTGGACTGCTTATGAACCAATAACACCTGCATTCTGTCTTGTTCATTTGCTGCACAGACAATGCCACGCCATACGAATCGCCTCAGTCTTGGATTTCCGATTCCGTTCAATTCGGATTCGGAAAACGACGATCAGAGCACGATGCCATCGATAATCATTCAGAAAGTGGAGACGCTCGGTCGCGGTACCTTGAGCAGGGATGTAGCCGTGGAGCTCAGTCGACGCACTGTTCCTGTTCCGCCCTCTCCACCCCCGCGTGGAGGCCAGGATCAGCATTCAGCACAGCATCATAATCATCAGCAGCAGCAAGAGCATGTACGGTCGTCCTTATCCGATGGCCAGCCCCTGGAGCCGATCAGCCTGTACAACTCCGCCAGCTGCTTCTCCTTCTCCGACACCGAGGGCAACGCCAAGTCGGACGAGGAGGGGGCGACCTACCCGGTCCTGACCCGCCCGGGGGCCCGACGGCCCACCACGCGGGAGCGCATAGTGCGCCGTAGCTCTAGCATGGGAGAGTTCGACCGCCTGCGGCAACGGATGAACTTGATGTCGGACAGTGCGTCGGACGACTCCGGCGAACCAGCGGATAGCATGCTACCTGGACGCAGTCGCACTGACACGTCCGGGAAAACGACGAAGAGCGTGGCATCGCGTACGACGACAACCAGTAGCTTCCAATCGCCCAGCGGGGCTCTTAGCCTGCGCTCCACCCAGGAGAGGTGTAGGCGCCGTCTCACGCCCACGGAGCGTCGCAAGTGGAGGGAACGGCACGTCGACTACATGAAAGGACAGAATGTAAGAGAACGTGGAGCGTTTCCAACCAAACACTATTTCTCATGTGTGTACTTGACGTCAATAATGTCCACTGAAGTAAAGTGGTAATGCGAATTTTCTCTTATGGGCTGTCTTGGGCTATCTATATTGGGCCAGAGATCCGGGATATGGCATCACTATTTCAACAACAATAATTGGCATGAGAGTAGAAATATTTCCACTTCACCGCATCCACAGTGTGCCTGGTAGACTGAGGCACCCGTCACTGGCAGGTCCGGGTAATAGAGATACAGAAACACCTGTCAAAGCGACCACTTGGATAAGGTGACCACCTGTCCTAAAAGACCACTGACACCAGGACCAGTGGGTGATTTTTTCTAGTCAATTGACCCTGGATACTGAGACCACCTGGTGTCAGAGACCACGTTTTGAAGGTCCCCTGAGCGGTCGTCTTACACAGGTTTAACTGTTTGATTGTAATGCGATTCTCACCTGCTTCTACAGGGGTTTGGCAACTCCATGAACGTGGGCTCGTTGATCTTGCAGCACCGGAAAACACTGAGCACGGCTTCTCTGGATGCCGACGTTGCCATGGCAGGGTCGGCGGACGACATTCCGTCGCGATGCAAGATCATGCTGCCGAAGGGCAGCACTCACGTTCCGCAGAGTCGCGCCCGCTCGCCGTACTTCCACATCGACATCATCGAGCACCGCCTGGAAGATCCGCTGGTGAGACCCACGGACCGACGTATCAGCATGCGCAACACCGACTCAAGGTATGTGTGCATAGATGTGTAGAGAATTCAGACATGTACAATGAAGTTCAATAGACTCATTGCGCAATGACGTCATTTGTACCATTAACACCCTTCGCAGCCACATGGGCATGATCGTCTGGGGTGTTGAACAGTGCATTCCTGATCCCAGCGTACTCACAAGCATTACTCATACATTCCATATTTGGCGATGCACAAATGGGTCTATAGGTACATATGCCATGGATTGTGTTATCATGTACAACCCTGACGATGGGCCAGGACCGAAAATTTGGTGTGGTAAATATTTGAATCGCAGTAAAAAGACAGTGGTGGGGAGTGAAGTTTCATTAATTTGTAAGTGGCTGAATTGGAGTTTGCGGACAATGAGAATAGAATTCTTAGAACGTACGTCAATTGTCGTGATGCGGTTCTTGGCGTTGATTGATTTCGCGGGATTACTAATGGAGCACATTGGGTGCTGCACTTGCCTGCGAACAAAGAGGTTGTGGGATTCGTGTACCCCATGCTCGCACATCCGACTGCAAAATCCGCATGACACAGCTCACCAGATCAAGGTATGGGTCCTCATCACTCGGTAGAGACGACTTGAGTCGAGCGATCTGTGCTTCCGGTGCCAAGAAGCACGTCAGGTCCAAAGCCCAGTATGGCAGCTTCCCAATGTCTCAACCAAGACAAAGAAGCAATTGCAGCAGAAGCCATGCTGGTCGAAGAAAAGGTCTCGGTGTAAATTCATTTAAATCTGTGTTGTTGACATCGACCACCACACAATAACTGAGCTCTCCAGTCGACCTTCACATGTTGCCACAGCACGCCACCAGCAAAGCGACACAAGGTCGGCTGAAGAGAACCGTTATGGTATGGTGACTGATGCAAAATTGATACAGAGCCGAGTTTTGCTACTTTCCTCTTTTAGTGTGTTGACTTGTTCTCATGCTTCGTGTTCTCCAGTATGATACCAGGCCACCGAATAGTTAGTATCCCGCTGGAGCGCATCCGACCTCTCAATATACAGCTTGCTGGTGGCCGTGGTAACGGTGTGTATATCGAGGATATACGTAATGATATGACTGCACTTCCCAACGCTAAGCAGTTGAACCTCAAGCCGGGCGATCAGCTTCTGCGGGTGAGGTCCTACTCCGTTCTGTGTGATTCAGGGGGGGGGGGGGGGACGAGGTGTGTGTGTGTGTGCGTTTGTATGCGTTTGTGCATGCGTGTGTGTGTGTGCGTGTGTGTGTGTGCATGCTTGTGTGTGGGGAGTGCACCTAGGTGTACAAGTGTGTGTGTGTGTGCGCGCGCGCGCGTGTGTGTGTGTGTGTGCGTGCGTGTGCGTGCGTTTGTGTGTGAGCCCCCGTGTGAGTAAGTGTATGTGTGTGTGTGTGTGTGTGTGTGTGTATATGTGTGTGTGTGTGTGTGTGTGTGTGTGTGCACGCGTGCGCACGATTGCATGTGCGTGCGCACGATTGCGTGTGCGTGCGCGTATATGTGTTGGTGAGAGGTAGTATTGGTGTGGCGATTACGAATGTATTAGGTTCAACTTCCAGTCAGTACATCATAACCAGGTTTGAAAGATTTCCGTTGGGAAGCAGTATTGATAATAGAAAGTACTGAGCAGACTCACTATTTCAATTCATGTGCTGTAGCTTGGCAACTGTGACCTCGGCAACGCTACATACGAGATGGCAGCCACTGCCTGGAAGTTGATCCGTATGGCATGCACTCTGTGCTTCCAAGAGGACAGTCATAACGAGGAGGAGCGTTGTTTCTCGATCAGCGTTCGTGACGCACAGACCGCGTACAAGAACTTGCCGGATGGCGTGCGAGATGCTTTCTTTCTAAGGTGAGAGCAGGGGCGTAGCTGATCCCCCTTTCAAGGGGAGGGGGGGGGGGCACGGCGTCATATGTGTAGGATGGCTGGTGCATGTCATTCATTATGGTCATTATGTGCATGCGGAACCCAGGTCAAAATTCTTAGGGGGTGCACGTGTCCCCCCCCCCCCCCACCGTGCTCCATGGGGGATACGTGTCTGGTGGGTATGTGGTGGTTCCATTGAGGGACTTTCATTCTTACCTGTGCACGGTCGTAGTGATGTACTCATACTGCTAGTGTTTTAGGGTATGTCAATACCGGTGCGAATCCTGAAGTAGACAGTTGATAAATTTCAGATCTAGACAGTTGATAAATTTCAGATCTATTTTTGTGATGAATTTGTTTTCAAGTTGGCGTCATCAACTCTACCAGCACTATGTAGGTGATTATGCGTCGTCCGCCCACTGACATTTCCAGATCATATCTCTTTGGTGGTGGCCGTGGTGGTGGCCTGGGGATAGTATGGAAATCGCCATGACCTTCCCATAGCTGACAGAGTCGAGCATGAGTGCAATGTTGACAAGGCCTCGCAGTACTGCTGGCTCACCCTTGCTGGCACACCCTTGCTGGCACACCCTTGCTGGCACACCCTTGCTGCAATGCTGGATTGCTGGTGTAACCTCTCTGGCATGGCGATGGAATCTCACCGTGATGATGACGTAGCCTCCCTGTACTGCGTCACACCCATGCTGTAATCTCGCTGTGATGACGATGTAATCTTGCTGTGATGATGATGATGTCATATCGCTGTAATGATGATGTAATCCCTTTCCTGCAGGATAACCCGTGCGGTAGACAGGCAGTATGTGGAGGGAGAGCTGCGACTAGAGACCGGTGCGCTGTACCATGTTGTGGACACGATGTATCAGAACAAGGAGGGTCAGTGGCGGGCACATCGTATCAGTGAGACTGGCCAGGTGCTGGACACCGGCTGCATTCCCAGTGCATCAGTGTACGTAACCGTACCTGGTGTAATACCTTAGATCAGCAGGGTTTGATGTATATAATTGTGTATAGCATGCTCAGCATTCGTGTTCGTATATCGACGGGATGCTTTTGGTATCCACCAGTTTGAGCTAGTACCGTATTTTTCGGAGTATAGTGCGCACTTTAGATGTGCTATTTTAGGCCCTAAATCGCAGGTGCGCACTATGCTCCGAATATGAAATGCATGTACTTCAATGAAGATTGAAGTGCGCACCCCCAATGAAGATTGGGGGTGCGCGTTATACAAAGGTGCGCACTATACTCCGAAAAATACGGTAGGTATAATGTCGTCCGGATACTATTAGTGTTCTTGGTCTTTGGGCATTTGCTTCTCGGCCCTGTCTGTATAAGGCAGAGTATGACGTGTCTTGCATAGGGTCGTGCGCTTGAATGGAGACCAGTGGTCGATGAGCTCTGCAAACCCCTTCGTCTGTAGTGCCCGTTGTTTCCCTGCGTTTCCTTCTCTCCTGTCTGGTCAATGTAAATGTTACCCCGTCCCGTTTTCTCCCAGCCCCTTTATCCCTGTAGGGCAGTGCACAAGTGCTTCGCCTGACCCAATTTTGTAAAGAAAGTCTTGCCGTTCTGCTGTCCAGTGTTTGACTGCTCTACGCTCTGCATACATGGTATTTTCAGCACTCTTTGCACACTGGGTGCATCTCTCATCAAAAAAAGTATTGTATGCTGCTGTGTGTAATCCGTACCGACAGCGTCCACATGGCTACCAAGGCTCCTACCCTGGGCTCGCCAATGCGTAAGATGCACTCCGACTCGCAGTCGCCGGTCAGCCTGCTCGGTACGGGTAACAATCGCCCCCGGTCGGCATCTGTACCCATGAGCAGCGCCGACGGCGGCTTGGAGAAAGTCCAGGCTGTACAGGGTGGAGGTGGCGGTGGCGGTGGCGGCAGTGTTAGCCCCATAGCCGAGGACAGGCGCAAGTCACACGTGCCGATGACGCTGCTCTCTGCCAAGGGTGAAACAGCAACTGGTAAGCAGTTATTCACAAAAAGAAGAAAAAAAGCTACGACATCCCCCGCCCCTGAACGAAAAGTACTGAAGTAGACTGAAATGACAGCTAGAATACATTGATGTCTCACATATCAACATTGTTTTTTTAAACGTAACTCTCCTCGACCTACTCACCCATGATACGAAACATTTTCGTTTTCTAAAACAGACGCGACGGAACCGGTCTGGTTGGGTAGGTCATCACCGAACCACCAGCCTGTTGGCAACTAGCAACGCAAGTTATTTACCATGGTATTGGTGCACCACCACACTTCTTATACTTTCTCTCTACGCCATGGCTGGCAAACGCCCCCTCCCCCTCCTCATCTATATTGGCACTGATTCATCTTTAGCCACTGGG